TGACTTGCGTAACGCATCATAGGGATTTCAATGTAAAATTCATAACATGCGATTATTGGCTCCCCAAATTATTTTAGAGCAAAAATGTATTAAGGTTTTTTGTAGAAAAAATTTTTTACGTCAATCAACCGTATTAGTTTTCAATTTTTTGTATAATAAAGACGGAAAATTGGAAAAATAAAACCCCCATCTTTTTCAATAATCTGTGATGCCATGCCATACAGATTAAGTTGAGGACACCTAGATCTGGTTTAAAAGGAATTATAATATTTTTTATTGTCAAAAGCCTAACACTTATCATCAAGCAAATTCTCCTCTTCATAAAATGGCGAAAATTTGTAATCAAATATTATCTTGTAATATAAATGTGGATATATTTAATGATAGCTATGGCCAGTTTTTGAAGAATGTAATTAACCACTTCATGGGCGCCGCTACTAAAGGGCAAGGGGGGGCCCGGACCCCTCCCTGGGATTTATAAATCGCTTAATCCATTTTAGAAAATGTTGAAAGCTCACGATAAAACCAGAATAGCCACCTTTTTCTGTCCCATCACTGTTCGGTGACAAAGCAAAAGTAGGCAAACCTTTTATAACCTTATTGAGTTACCTCAATGTCCATAAAGTTCCCATATTGTATAGACTATAGAGATTAAATTAACCGAAGACCGCAGGGTGGCTGTTTGTTTTGGAAAACCATCAATGACAATAAGCTGTCATGTTACATATTTCGGTTCGGCGCTTTTGAGCGCATTTTCCAAAAGGAAAATGAACGCTATTGTCCGCACTTTGTCCGTCTTTACCATTACTAGTCCTCCACTTTAAGCTATTTCGTTGTGGTTTCTTTCTTATACGGTGTAGCACAGCCTCGAGACCAGAACGACAAAAGACTTTTTGGATTAGTCCCTTCCTTCCCCAGCTATTCTTCAGTAGGGGAATTTTTTGTTACTCAGCTCGTATTGGGAAATCAGACTTTTAATCCGACTCATATTCAATATAGCACTGATCCTTGAACTCGTAGAAATGGATTGGCGAAGGTTCATCGCTGTGTCGTTTCGTTCTCAAGATAGACGAGGAACAGATGTACAGGCAGACGTACAAAATCATCACGTAAGAGGAATTTTTATTCTTTCGAAATAATTAAATTGTTTTATCCTACGCTACATTCAACATTGTAATCAATAACATTATGGTTGGTAATTTGTTATAGTTTTGAGTAGCAAAAAATATGCAGAAACAGTTTAATGTGCCCTCGAATTTGCCTTACGCCCTGAAATATTGTTATCACCCGCACGTTAGTAAGGGAGGTATTGCATTTGGGATAAAAAAACCCCCCCCCCCCCCACTTTTTTACGGAAATACACGTTTTGAAACACTAGGATTCCGAATCCAACAAAATTTTGATTATCTCGGTCTGTCTGTAGTGTACTGTTATTATTACCAAATTTGGTGCACCTATTCTTAGATATAAAAGGAAGAGCTGAAAAGCTTTCCGGGAGAATACTTATAGCTCATGCGCAAATGTGTTAAACTCTCATTAACGGCTAAACGGGTGAACCGATTGGAACCAAATTTGGTACACATATGGTTAGACGTAAATGAAGGTAGAACGCGCATGCGCCGGTGTGAGAGTGGTATCTGTGCTAATATTTGTTTCAGTAAACTACTGTAACTTGTTACTTTTGTTCTTGTTTTGTTTTGTGTCTAATATGTACCTATTACACTATTACACCAATGATTTTTATTGGATATATGGTTTAGCTGCGTATCCTATTGATTTACTAATTTAAAAATAGTTAGGTAACATTTTCTATTCCAAAAATGTAAGGGCCCCTCCCTAGCGCATTTTCTTCCGGCGCCCCTGAACCACTTTAACAACTAAGGACGTGCTCTTTACTGTCTTTTGCCATCTGTCACTTAAGTATGTTAATACTGCTATTGTCTCGGACTGTTGTCACTAATATTGCCCTATAATTGGTGTTATCACTGTTGGGATAATAAACTTTATTATTATTATTATTGATCTGGCACCAGAAGCGACGTCCGTCCCTGTTGTAGTCCAGAGCGGAAGTCTTATCGTATCCCGACTGATTAGGTCCTTAAGTGCGGCGTCTCGAGATTGTAGGAATTGGCGAAATACTCCCCTCCTAATGAGATTAATTTCATTAGGGCGCTTCTAGCGATCAAGACGAATGGGAGTTCAAGCAATTTTCTTATTATATGCGGTGGGAAATTGGGGGTAACGGTCAAGATTTATTTTGATAAGGCGTTGTTGATGTTTAATACGGATGTCGTTGGGGAGTGTAGCCAAGTTAGATGTTTGTGGTCATTATCGAGAATTCGGCGTTGTGAACACGTTCGGATTAAATTAGGGGTATTGATAATTCGAAGATCCTTCGCCTTGCAATGTAAATACAGCAGGTACGGGATAGACTGAAAAGTCAGGGCAAATTAACAGGGAATTTAAATTCGATTGCAAAACGAATTCTTCTAAATACGGCTCTGTTGTGCGCACAAGGTGCAATGCGCACGTCGATGTTTTGAACAAAGTTTTCATTTTTGTGTGCGTCGCCGTTGCGTTAGTCAGTTCAGTTCCTGTTTGTTGGTAGAATTGGTGTGGTTATGTGCCGTTTATTTACATTACGATACCTGTTGCTTTTCACACGTTTATTATTTAAATAAAACATGAACAATTACATAGACTGTTGAGTGTCGTACATAAAATGAGTGATTATTTCGTGTAGATTCGTACAATGGGATTGTTAACTTCGAAAGAAGAGACTGCGACACAGCAGCAGCAGCAGCACAATAATTTATCCGACAGGCCCGAAAGCATTATATCTTCGAAATATGGGCACGGAAGGCAGCCGAGTATACGCGCTAAATCGAAACGGCCCATGCCAGATCCCAACGAGCTCGAAAGGAGGTTTACGGAAGTTTTGGTGAGTATTGCATTTTTGCTATAATTGCAATTAACAATCGGTATAATTAACCTTTGAAAATTGCTTACAGGTTGTATCTGTATTAAATGCAAAGTTTACAATTTGTAATTATTTACCCTGTCGGGCCCTTTTGGGAACGCTGCGGAACATGTGTTCATCTTCCTTCGCCGACCGTCATGCACAGGGTGGTTCATCCATTTTACCTTCGATCGGCATTGTATCGTTATATCCACTGTGATTCACTCGCTAGGAAATACCACAAATACCTTAAATTGATCTGGTCAACAAAATTCTTTGTTGCTTGGGGCATTGTGGAAAAATTGCGTGCATGTTATTGGCTTATCAATAGCTACTATAATCATATCAGTTCCGGTTTGGTTCAATTTACGGATGTGAAGTCTCGGAAACGCGCGTTCATATCTCTTTCCTTCTTAGTCCTATTACAAGAACATCTGATTTGAGTAATTTAAGGGCAGAGGCTTTAATTCAGCCCAGATGTACCCGAGCCGTCTTCCTAAAACGAAACTGAACCCAAACCAAGCAATTTTTGCAGTCCAGGTGATTAAGGTGGTAAATTCTCCCCTTCCTGTGGTGAAAATATTTATTTCAATGCCTAAATTAGGGTTTAAAGTACCATCATGTCAATACCGACCAAAACATTGTAGGTAAGTACCTCGTTAAGTACTAAGCGAGGTGCTAAGGGAAAGCGAGTGTGTATTTATTTGTATATAGTAAGTGTAGGTACCTAATTCAATCATTGGGGTAAGAATTGTTTGAAGTGGAAGGCTACTACCTCGGCTACTACAATAGTAATCAATGTACCAAGCGATTAAACTCATTTTAATCTCGGAAGGATGTTGAAACGAGACGAATTCGAGTGGCTCACATCGTATTTCCTAAAGAAATGTGTTTTAGTATTGTGTATTCTGTTACTAAAAAGGCAAAAAGAATTTTCTCGTGCGTGCATAGAACTATAGAAAAGTGTTCTAAAAAACGTGACATTCACGTTTTGCCATCTCATATACAGGGTGAACATTTTGACTGGAACACTGAATATATCTAATATCTTCAGAACTACAACTGCAAGAAGTTCTTTTGTATGGTATCAACAATTATTAAAAAGTTGTTAACAATCTACGTACTTTAAATTTATGGTCAGTGGCGTTTCTATATCGAAAAAGGTGTGTACCTCGGTGTGAACTTTAAGAACATTTAATAAAAAAATGTGATTGCTATTACAAATATATACCTACTGCTCTGTGCAATGGCGTGCGGTCAACTCTACACCTTCCACAAAACACCTGCTCCACTAACTCCAACAAATCAAAGTTGAAACTTTTGTTTTAGTTAGTTTTAAAAGACTCGGTGGCCTCGATCAACCCAACAATAATTTTTCCGACACAAAAAAAATTCTTGGAAGAAAGAAAGGCTACACAGCCTCTTTGGACATCTCGTTTGACATATTCCCCGCACGCAGGCATTCGATAATTAAAAATTTAAAAAAATCTTAAAATTACTTCCAGTGTATCTTTCTAAATAATCCAAATAATGTGGCCGTAAACTGTTTTGCGATAAACAGACGCAGTTAACTCAACGCAAACGCCGGCAGCTTCAGAACTTGACTTTTTTTTATAACGCCAACTAGCATGTTGAATACGATGATAAACGTTTATCGGTGGTTGCTCTATCGGTATAACTTTTAACTTTGATAATAAGAAAATGGACATCACGCGTTAAACTTTTCACAACTTCAGTTAACTTTCTTCTGTGCGGAAATATTATGAAAATGACGAACTGCATCTTTGATAAATCGAACTACCAGAATAAAAATGCGTAAAGAGACGTACACTCTTTTCCAACCGTCGCGAACCAGCAGTTATCCTCAGTATTTAAGTGAACGCCACTTCCATTATTGAATAATCATTACTCCGGTATTTACTAAAAATGCACCAATTATAATTTTATATTAGATAACGCCGGCTGTTAAGGAACGCGTCCCACTTACGCCGTAAATAATGCGCACATCGTCGAACAGCGGTAAGAAAACACGTGCTTTTATTACATCCGATAACACTCCTTATTGCAAACATTTTTACCTTTTATAAAAATACGCAATTGACCAGAGGTTCTCACATTTTAATACTCAACTTTACAATTAAATCAACAGATATAAATAAACAATACGCAATTACAAACAATTCTAAAAGGAAAAATAACACTACAAAAAATACACTCTCAGATTTACTCTTGATACTAGAAAAACCTCTCATAAACAGGGTCCGCCGTCATTATTTTAGGTGTTTAAACCGAAATCCTCCTCACCCCCTGGTAAAAAATATCAAAAAATCTTTTTTGAAAATGTCAACCATAGATGGTTACGCATTTACTTACACAAATTATTTTTGAATGTACAAGGTGTTCGATTTTTACGATGTCAATAGATAACTGATTTTTTAATGGAACGCCCTGTATATTTTTAGTTGTTTCGATGTTATTTTTTAACCTCTGCATGGAAACCTATTCACTTTTTGGTTTTTCGTCATGTTACCAAATTATTAATTTTTTTTCGATTAATTGCCCATAGGCAAGCCCCACTTCGCCACTTTGATAAATCGTGGCGACCTTGATTTTAAAGTTAAGAAATACACTTGATCAATAATGTTAATTTGAATAAAAGGAATCACTTTGACAATGAAAAAGTTGGATTTAATGCTACAGGGTGTTCACAAAAAATAGTAGTTTCCAAATTTCAAAGTGTCATAACTATTTTTTTTCAAATGGAACTACCACTATTTTATTTCTCTATTCGATAGTCTTTTGTGTCCTCTTCAATTTTTATAAGGGGTGTCATGTGCCTAAGCCCCGTAGTTTTTAGCTTATTCAATATTTTTCACAAGAATAGTTACACATGAATCAATTACATGTTTATAAACTGGTATAGACAAATAATAAAATAAAAAATAAATAATGCCAGAAAGTAAACAAGTGTCACAAATAAATTATCTACTGCAAGTGTACTCCCTATTTCGTAGTAAAATAAGATTAATTAAAAAGGCAAATTTCGAAAAAGATGAATTAGTCCTTTTAAATAATCTTATTTTACTACGAAATAAGGAGTACACTTGCAGTAAATCATAAATTTATGGCACTTGTTTTGTTGTACCTGGCATTCTTTGGTTTTTTATTATCACGGTCTACTGTTTAGTGTTTATAAACATTTAATTAATTAATGTGTAAAAACTAGGGGGTTTAGGCACAGCACAGCACACCCCTTATAAAAATTGCAGAATACAACAAAACACTATCGAATAGAGAAATAAAATAGTGGTAGTTCCATTTGAAAAATAAATAGTTACTTATGGCACTTTGAAATAATATGGAAATTTTACTATTTTTTGTGAACAGTCTGTATCACTAAATTCGACTTTCTCATTACCAAAGTGCCTTTTATTCAGATTATTTTTGATCAAATGTATTTCTTAACTTGAAAATCAAGGTCGCTACGATTTATCAAAGTGAAAGAGGTGGTTTATAGAGAATTATAGTGAATAGATTTCCATGCATATGCATAGGTTAAAAAATGGCATCGAATCATCTAAAAATATACAGGGTGTTCTATTTTAAAAAATCATTTCTGTAGATGCGCAACCATCTATATTTGACATGTACACAAAAGGTTTTTTGATATTTTTTACCAAGGAAAGACCAGCGCACTGTTGCAGGACCCTGTATAGTTGACAAAAAGTTATAAAATTTGAATTGTTTTAATATTTTGAAGAATCTTAAATCTGTTTGAACCGAGGTTTGAACCAATATTGATAAATTGATTTCTTTTGTATTCTTTTAGGTTAGGTCCGATAACTTCTTTACCTGACCCCGTATACTTCTTTTGCAAACCGCAGATTACCTATTCAACAATCTTTATAAAGAAACTTTATTACATAAACATTTTTCTGTATATCTTCTAACTAAGAAAATAAAGGGCCATTCTGAAATTGGCAACTTCTTGATTTCCCTTCGAGTCTAAAATTTGCAAATTTTGATTTTACAATTTTAAATTTGGTCCAAAAGAAGCACATAACATCCTATATTAATTTGAGGGCACTAATAATTACGGGGATATAGTGTCGAAAATGGGACACCCTGTATCTACAATAGCTAATTATATTATTTTGCTTCTAAGCATAAACTTTTTATCGTTTCATCGTTATTTCATGCTCTTCTCCGTTCTGTTTTTAATTATACCTACGTTGATACTTAACTAAGTTTTTCGATTTTCATTAAATGGCGAAAATCGTTTTAGGCGTTTATATATGTATGTAATATTCTAAATAACTGTTGGTGCTTCCGTAACTACTTTTACATCTTTTGGTCAGATACGAGATGGAAAGGATGGATAAGAATCCACAATAGACATGATCGATCGTATTTGAATGACCCATACGGCATCCCGGCCAAGCAGCACTGTACCATTGAACTGTACCCATAATAAGAGCGAATAAGGAATGTAAAACTTAATAACAATCCGTTAGATTTCTTGTCACGATTAGGTTATTGCAGACATGACGTAAGATAATAATCAGTAAATGGCATTCATCCTCACATAACGTTAATAAAATAACATGTACACAACCCTCCATTCAACCTCCCATACATTTTCATTCATTCTTATTAAAGGAAGCTGTCTGATGCAGATCATTGGTCAATACCGCGTCTGTATTTGAATATGAAAAAAAAATGAATAATTACTCCGGAATTTCAGTAACAATAAGAATGTCGGTGTGTAACAACACGATTGCAGCGGAAGTGCTGTGATAACTAAATACTTTTGACTAAACGAAACGAGATTACGGTAGTTTTTAATTTAAACAAACATCAAAAGCATGGTTTTCCTGGAAATGTAGGTGGACATTTTCCAGGCATACTGGAAATCAACTGAAACTTTTGGGAAGAATTTCAAAGTATCGATTTTGTAAAAAAATTACAAAAATTTCTAATCCCGACGACAAGATCTACAGGGTGTCTGTCTGTTCACAATTTTATTCTTATAGTCATAAGGCTATTTTTATGAAAATGTGATTTTTTGGTTGTCCGGTCAGATCCAGATGGAATTTTTTTAGAATTTTGGGTGCGTTATTTTCATTTCACAAAAACTTCTAAATAGCAAACTTAACCAAAATCATTTTAAGGTTGGTGAGAGAAGATTGCAGAAGCGAATTTTTTAAGAATTAAAAAATGTACTATTGTTTCGTCCCGAGTTTCTTCCCGACCCACCTCTGGGATATTCAGCTAATTTTGGGGAGATTGTCCGAGAGTCCTGAAATTATTTACAGCGGGTAGCATATACTTGGCCGATGTTCCAAAAGGCCTTCAATTTTTTGTGTCTTTAGGTGACCACGAACCTCGCCAAGAACTAAAGAATATTGCTAGAAGCAGATGGAAATAAGTGCTAATAACGAAGGACCTTGAGGTTTTATCGAGACCTAATTTATGTGTCGGAATAAATAGAGATATAGGGCGCCATTTGTGTTTTATCTCGTAGGTATGCCTTACTGGATGTGACGCATGGTGCTTACGCCGGAATTGTGGTTTGATATAGCAAGAGAGGTAATTTTTTATCGCTGTTTCGTCAGCAATTGTTTCCACATTCACATATACAAGGGAATTTCTATTATTTATTACCACACCATCTTTACTTTTTTTTACTTACCTTGAGATTTTGACACATCATTGCTCGGGAAAATTGATAAAAATATTTCAGGGGGATTTCATTAGGGTTTCCGATGACTAAACGATGTATCCAAGAGGGAAATATGTTTTTCTGGTCTAATAGTTCCTCTAAGGTACTTTCTAAAAGATTTATAACGATATGAAAATTTAAATAGTAACCGATAAGGGACCATGAAAAACGAGAAGTTTGGAATATAGATAAATGTGTTTATTTTATAGCGTTATGTTAAATTGACATTTTAATAGGTTTGAACATTGAATAAAAACACTATTTTTATTCAATGGTTTGAATGAGTTGCGAGGGTTGGTAAGAGTGAAACAGGTGATTGTGCATTCTGATGACATCAGCTGCGAGATCAGCTGTCATTCTTATTTCAAATGGGACGCGAAGCACGAAATAAAATGACGTTCAGAACAGAATACAATGCTATTTCTATGGAAACGATCGCGACGGCCGAACCTAAGCTTGCTATTTTTTACGTATAAATTAAATTCAGAATTGTCAGAAGCTTTACAATGATTTATATTGCTTCGACTTCGGCTATAAATTAAAGTTTTGTATTATACACGACGATAAAGGGAAACTAATTAAGTATCTCGTGAAAGTTAATTCACTCAATACCTTTATCGTCTTAAATAATAAATAACTATTAGTCCTCATTTTTAATACGTTTACCCAAAATATTTAAAAATTGCCCAGAAGATTTGTAAACAAAATTGTTGAAAGTTATGGATTTTTAAGGTGAACAAATAGTTTTTAAGCACAATTCCTAAAGATTGATAAATTCCATGCATGAATCTGGATTACATCCAGGGACTCTCAAATCCTGTGGTCTTGACGATTTGTAGGAAGACTTAAAAATTTCCAGGATGATCTCTAAATTCTTTCGCTTGTCTGACAGTCACAAAATTAAATTAGTCATTATTAATTATTTCGGTTTTCTGTCCTATAGTTGATAAATGGTAGATTCCACGAAACTGCATTACAGAGCGACATATCCCAAAAAAATTGTAAGAGGGAGTGAGCCGCCTGTCATAAAACTTTATTAACGTACATAAAATTATCAACGGGCGTAGGCGGCAAGATGACATAAATAAAAACTGACAGCATCTGTAAATATTAAAATAACGATTTTCCGAAGTCATCAACTTATCGAACGTCTCGCACAATGAGCCCACGTAGACTGCAACCCCCCCTGAACAACGCATTCCTTACTCTTCAATATCCCGGGGTCAACCCCCTACGTGTAGTGGCATTTTAAAAACCCAGACCGATTGTTACGCGATAAAAAAAAACCCTTAACTGGTTAATTTTTTTTGTGTTTACGTTATGCGCACACCGGGCGGCACGTGGCTTGGTTTAGTAAATATAGGCGTCCCACCAAAAGGACAGAAGCGGAATTTTAACAGTTAATCGAAACACGTTTAATAAAAATTTATTAGCTCCAATTTCGTACACATTTGGATTGTAAGAATCTGAGGACACTACAATATAAGCTTGTGAGTAGCCGATGAAATGAAAACATAATTTTCAAACTCAATAGTAATTTATAATTAGTGCCGCATCCACAAAGAGTAAATTATGAAACAATAAGTTTATATTAGTGTCCGGAGGGGGGGCAAGAATTTTTGATTTTATGTGGTAGAGAGGCCCAAAATAAACAATTTTTCCAAATATACCAAGAGCCGAAAATGTTTCATTTCAAGTTCCAAAATTGGAGCTTTTAAAATACAGGGCGTTTCAAAAAGAATCATCCGATTTTGTAGGTTTATAATTTGTTTAGACGCCATTTTGACAATAACTGAGCTGAGCGTTGACAGAAGCGCGCTACTGCTACCTAGCGGAAACCACGCGAAACTCGAGAGCTTCCTCTTACTAACAGTACATTGTTCTATCAAATCGGACTTATAGATGAATAGCAATAAATTTTTAAAATCGGATGATTCTTTTTGAAACGCCCTGTATTAATGGGATTTTTCAAAAAAGATCATTTAAAAATATTTCTATCGTTTTTCATACTTTGATACTTTTGGTACTGAGATTTTTGGGTAGTTTTTTTAGCTGTATGATTTCTATTATTTCTAAGTAAGTGTCAAAGATTCCTACGACTTATTTCAAGATTGTTTTGCAGAAGTTTTTAAGAAAATTTCGTAGTAGATATCATAAAATTGCACAAAAACGTCCAGCTATAGATCTCGGAAGATTGTTCTAGAATATCCCTTTAAGACACTACATGGAAGTACTTTCAAAAAAGTGTATTTTATACGGAAATTTCAAAAGTCCCTAAGATGCCAAAAAATATCATGAAAAAAGTTTCTATTATGAATTTTAGGATAATTGCGAAGGTTTCGGTTGGTCAGTAATAAAATTTAAATACTGCTTACGGAAGTTTGGCCTTTTCATCTCTTTTTTTAATCTGAAAATCAGCAAAATTGACGCCCTGGTTTTATTGCATACGAATAATAAATCCGAATTTCAAAATAAATAATTGTATATGTTGGTCAAACTAAATTCTATCCAATTCCAAGTCTCTAGCTATTGGAATTGCTGAGATCTCAGTCGGGCAGCCAGCCAGCTATAACGAATATAATAGCGTATTTTTTCCAAAAATGCGCTAAAAATATAACTCCTATATCGTGGCCACGTATTAGTTCTAATTTCCCTTATCTAATTTTTTATGCATAATACACGTCTGGAAATTATTTACACAAAATATTTATACACGGTGCCCATTATGTATGGAATATAATAGTCTATATATATTTCTCGGTAAATAACAACTGTATAAAAGGGCCGGCTCGTGTGGCGCAGTTCAGTTTAAGCTGGACTGCGGTAATAAGAGTCCCTGGTTCGTTTCCGGGTTCGTGCATGTATAGTGGGTTGGATTGGTAGAGCAGCCTTGGCTGAAACCCCGCCCACTCAAAAATAAAGGTAAAAATAAAGGTTTTTAAGATTTTATTTCCCATAATAAGGCAGCATTCAGTTGTTTTTATTACAGAAAACTAATGAGTAACGAAAAACAATTGATTTTTTAAAAAAATAGCAATGTAGCCTTTTATTAGGCTCATTTAATAGAGATTTTTTTCTTTTCGATGACGTAAAATGTTAGTACCCTTATACAAGAACATTTTTCCAAAAAACTTTGTTATAGGTAATTACAACATCAATAGCATTAATCTAGATATCCTACATCAAAATAAAACAAATGAACTTGTACGTTTCTTATTAAACCTCGTATTAAACCTTGAAGATAAAACGAAATTAGCAATAATTGTTTCAGTTGACATTTGCTTACGTTGTATATTTTGTGTTTACGTTTATTTGTTTAGTGTATGTTTTTTTCGAGAGCTATATACGGGCATTATTCAGAACAATTCATTTTTTTAAAACATAGCCCTACTCCAATTCAGACACACGAACGATTTGCGTTTTTTCTGCGGTTCGCAAAACTTTGCACGGAAGATTTTATATTCTCCAGTTCTTCTATTACACTTCATAAAGATACAATTTGTACAAAACGAAAACGTTCCTGACACAAACTGTCCAAAATCGTGGCTATTCAGAAATTTTCAAAGGCCGTTACTTAAAAAGGTTTTCAAGAAGATTTCGAAAGATCACTAGATTTTTACACGTGATTTAAAAAGGACTTCTAAAAGGATTTCTTCTTTCAAAAAAGATTTCCAGAATTGTTAATTAGAATTAAAAAAGTACTGATACATTTAGTGTAGTGCAATTGACTAATTGTGTATTGTAATAGAACAAATGAAATTTGAAAACTCAACATGGTAACACCATTACCGCTAGTTATTACTAACAGTAATGAATCATACACAGAAATGCCAAGTTATGTGGGAAATAAGTGTGTACTTTGCTTCTAATACGTATAAAATGTATAGTTTGGTTCAAGCCAAGTTCTGTATGACTCATCCCACCAAAAAGTTGTTCCGTGGCTTACGTGATATATGGATCAAAATGTTTTGGTTTCCAGTTTGTAATTATTAACTGTGTGCAATAAAAAAAATCAGTCAGTTTTTCGAGTTAAAGGCAAATGATCACACTACACCAAATGTCACAGTGGACAGCATAGTCTCCTTGGCTCCCTAATACATTTTGAGTGCAGATTTTTCAAACGTCGCAACGTATACGGGATTAATTGACGTCTTATTAAATGCTAATTGCCCATTAATTGCACTATAATTTGCAATGCTAATATTAATTACCCTGTTTACTTTCATTTCAGGCTTCCATGGATCTGCCACCTGACAAAGCGAAATTACTGAAAAACTACGATTTCGAAAAGAAGTGGGACATTATCTGTGATCAGGTCAGTACTTCCTTCTCTACAATGCGATTTTTGACCAGTCATCTGCGTGAATTGCTTTTTGATCCCTTTAATGAGGATAATTATGATTAGGAAAAATCGAATGAGCTACCGTAATGGATTCAAAGGAAAGATCTAATTCAGAAGTTTAAATTAAAGCAAGTGTTTGTTGTTTGAACAAGAGGGTCTATTTTTATACCGCGTGTAACTAGTTTAATGTACTGAAAAGGAACACAAATGTACTGCAGATGTGCATTCGGGCGACTTCTTCCACTCTTTAATTAATTTGTTTATTTACTTTTGGCACGACTTTTAGCTTAAAACGAGATTGAAGTATAACAATAGTGAAAGTGGTGATATAATGGTTAATTTTCTGGAAAAAAAAATTGTTCCTAATTTAAAATTACAATTTCCTTCGAATGTCGGTCGGTTAGATCATGGCTATTTATTTGCACATGAAATCAGTTAATGATTAAGTGAAACGCGTGCAATGCTTGGGTTTTATTTCCGGATGTGTGAAATAGCTCCCGATTAAAACAATTTTAAATGTGCTCTTCACTTTGTCTCTCCGACAAAGTGGTCGTCACAGACCCCTTGCCAAAAAAAAACGCGCAGCTGCCGTAAATCTGCAAGGAAATCTGCGGGGGCCACTACGAAACATGTTAAAATTGTATGCCATTTTTGGAACGAATGAATTGATTATCTTAAAGTTTTTGTGAGTCCCCGTGTATATACCTAATAGTGATAAATGACATGTTGCACGTTTCCTGAAATACTTTTGATTTTAAACAAAATGCTTTGTTTCATACTGGATCAATGAGTAAACTACTGTCTTCAAGATCACATCTTTGGATTTTCAGAAACTCCAATAGAAGAAGGTAGGTACATGCGTGTCAATCGCAGCATCTTCACCAGCGCCCCACAAAACAACAATACTCTTAAGATCTTGGATTTTGCAAAAGGTAAATTTGCATCGTTTTCGGATTATTTTCTAAATTCTTTACCCATTTCTAATTTTTCAAAAAATTCCGACCAAAATCGACCTGTTTTTGCATTTTTTTTCCAAAACCTATTTCCTTCAGTCTGTTTCGTTGTGCCACCCTGTATATTAGAAACATTCCAAATTTACATTTTGGAAATATTTCCATAAATTACTTGGACTAATAAAGACATATGCGTATTTTGGTATGTTTTGGATGGATGGGCCTCTTATACCTACTCGATTTCGTTTTCGTTTGTCTGTCCATTTGTCTGTGCCCGTTAAAATTGCTCTCAGATCAAACCTTGTTTAGTTTTTGATCTACCCATAATAGTGTATGCCCTATGTTCTGCAAAAGTACAAAATTCTTTCAGTTATTGGTATAGAAAGGCTCAGTTTGGGTAAATTCTTTTCGTATTATTGTTTTGTTTTTAATTTTTTTTTTTCAATATAAATTTTATTTAAACAAATGAAAAATTAAACATTTCTAAAGATCAAACATTCATAATAAATAATAAATTTCTTCCATGGGGATCGCAGTTGGAAACGTCCCCATTACACTTGCCGCATTGCCACGTTGTACCTATAGCAATACTTATTTTTAGCGCATTTTTGAAAAAAATACGCTATTATATTCGTCATTGCTGGCAGGCCGGCTGTCCGCGTTAGATCTCCACAACTACAATAGCTAGAGACTTCAAATTTTCACTAAAAGCTTTCTGCTATAGTGTAGATGTGCAGGCACTACTCTATTTTGAGTTAGATTACTTGTGAAATCGATATGAAGAAAATAATTTCGATATGGGTTTCGGAGGTGCTATAATTTTACCGTTAGATAGCGCTACCAGTATAAAAACTTATTATTTACTTTGTGATTTGTTTTACAAAATGAAGACGTACCGTCAATTGAAATTAAATAAAATTAATTATTTAACGCAGCCAAAATTACCCGTGAGATCGATAATTTTAAACTTCGCTAATAAAATACTGACCTGCATTACCAAAAATGCGCTTTAATCATGCATATGCTGATTTACAACTTGTTTGTTTTTAATTGTGTCCTTCAAATTTCGTTCATTGGCTGCTTAATGTTACAGTTTTAATTCTGTCCGAATTATTATAAAAATAGAAAGCGCTTAATCGATACCCACTGGCCACTACCGGCAGTTAGGCATGGCTAAGTTTTCAGAGAATTTCGCATATAATTACGACGCATTGTTTAACGCTAGAAAAAATTGCTGTTGTTAAAAATCACGGTAGGCTGCGAGTTTTAATTTCGCGGGAAGTTCAAATTAATCTACGAACTTTTAATTCGCGTTAATTAACAAACGACCTGAGAGCATGGGAGCGGCGCCCCTTCGTTTCTACTATACTACCATCAACACGAAATTAGATAAAACGCCGAAATGAAAGAGGGATAAATATATCCCCGATCTATAATTATCCGAGATTATCTAATAATAGAATTACTTTCGTTTTGTTGAGAGTTTATAAAACTTTCGCTCGACTCGTACAACGGAAAATCGTGAATGCAACGCGGAGAATCATGGATGAGGTCACCTGTGACCTCTGTGACTCATGCTTTTGTGGTTGCATGGAATACGAAAACATAAATCGCCATTGTTTCCCCGACCGATAACATTGTACATCAATATTGATACAAGTTCTAAATACAGATCGATCCGTTATCAAGTAGTTTTGAAAGTTGCCTTTATTTTAATGAATGAACGACGGACGTCTCGAATTTACGCAATGGTAGTATGCTTCGACGCAGGTCCGTACTGAAAAAACATTGGAAAGTTGGCGCACTTAAATAGCAGTGCTGTAGCAAAGTAAAATTGAATCAATGAATAGGTACACCCCAAACTTCTGGTGAGTAAGTCTTTATTTTGTAAAACAGATCACAAAGTAAATAATTAAGTTTTTATACTGGTAGCGCCATCTAACGGTAAAATTATAGCACCTCCGAAAACCATATCGAAATTATTTTCTTAAATTATCGATCTCACAAGTAATCTAGCTCAATATAGACCAGAGCCTGCACATCTACACTATAGCAGAAAGCTTTTAGTGAAAATTTGAAGTCTAGCTATTGTAGTTGCTGAGATCTCACCCGGACAGCCGGCCAGCCAGTGATAATAATCTATGCTCTATCTGAGAAGCGCTTTGCGCTTTCCTTTTCCTGATGGCCCCTCCCACTTTTTTTATTGGCTTAAAATAGCAGTGCTGTAGCAAACTAAAATTGAATCAATGAGTAGGTACACCCCAAACTTCTGGTGAGTACGCCTTTATTTTGTAAAACAAATCACAAAGTAAATAATTAAGTTTTTATACTGGTAGCGCCATCTAACGGTAAAATTATAGCACCTCCGAAAACCATATCGAAATTATTTTCTTAAATTATCGATCTCCCAAGTAATCTAACTCAAAATAGACTAGAGCCTGCACCTCTACTCAGAGAGTACTACACCAAAAACTGTCTGTCATCTTATATGGTATTACTGAGAAGCAGCGGGGCAGATGGCTGGATGTAGATGTAAATTGGTCATCTTTTTTTAACCGGATAACTTTGGGAAAAGATGGTGTGATAGCTTGGCGGTTTGCAAAGGATAGATTGGCGGATTCAGTTTTCCTAATGAAATCTGGAATTCGAGACAATGATAAGTGCCCTTTCTGCCCACAAGCAATAGGAACAAGTTTCCACATTCTTCTAAATTGTGCGAGAACGGTTGAGCTGTGGAAGTATGTGAAGTCACTGGTGCTACGACTAACGAAAACTAAAGTTGGATTACAAGAACTATACAGCGGCCTGCCACAAAAGACACCGAAATACCAGTTGGCTAATTATTTGATTAGTATGGCAAAAAGCACTATCTATAGGACAGCGACAAACGTGATGCGAGGAAGATCCGCAACTGATCATAAGACCCATTTTGTTGATAGTGTAACAAGCAGGCTAAGAAGCGAGTACGGTTGGTTCCTGGGTTGCAAAAATTTAGACCGTTTTGAGAGTATATGGTGTGAAGGAGAAGTATTGTGTAAAGTTGTGCATGGAGATTTAACAATATTAATGTAAATATTAGTTATGTTGGTGACATGTACTGTTAATGTAATTAAGTAAAAACTGTACAGTTGTAAATAAATAATAATAATAATAATAATAACACTATAGCAGAAAGCTTTTAGTGAAAATTTGAAGTCTAGCTATTGTAGTTGCTGAGATCTCACCCGGACAGCCGGCCAGCCAGTGATAACGAATATAATTTTTTTCAAAAATGCGCTAAAAAACAATAATCTATGCTCTATCTAAGAAGCGCTTTCCTTTTCCTGATGGCCCCTCCCACTTTTTTTATTGGCTTCACATCTCTCTCTCATCTCCCTCCTTTTTTTTTTAAATTTCCTCACGTCTTTGCGCCTCTGAAAACATGAGGACGTATGCTTCTCGCCCATGAAGATCTACGAACAGTTAAATCCATCCCAAAATATTACGACGCACTTGTAAATGTCGAATGTTTGAAATACTCAGGAGTTGTACTGGAAATCGATATGTTTCTTGTCACCGTTTCCCTTAATTTCCGATAAATTTCAAGCATTGCCTCAAATAACGTTACCTACTTCCCTATGGAAACTTTTTTTCCTTAAAATTTCCTCTAGATTTTCTTGAGATTTCCCCATTCCTTTGAAATATTCTCCTATTTTCCCTTAGGTTATAATTTCCTATAGGAGGGACAAGAATTCCCCTAGTGACCAATCCCTCGGTCTATTGGATGTATTGCTATCAAATGGAGTTCCAAAAATCTTTCGGAGTTCCGGATGTTCACTTGGATCATAGGCAGCTTAGTCCATGGAAGATTGCGAATGCTGATCGTCTTCCTTCCGTGAGCAATTCTGGACCATTCCTCTAATGCGGTATGAAATAATGACAGCTCATTCGCCAAGACGAGTCATTTCCTATCACTTCTTTCATTTGTGTAACTTTTCGATTTTATACAACCCAACAACGTCTCTTAGGTTTATCCTTCCTTTGAAACAATCGCTAATTAGGAATTTATGGCGCCATGCTCTACTTTTCAGCCGTTTTCACTTCAGTTTATCAAACTCTGCCTTCATCATCGTCTCAGTTGCAAAATGTATGATGGCAATGTCCCAAATGATCTTTAAACCATTGTAAAGTGATGAATATTTATGAAACAAGTAGACGTAGAGTACCATCGACTTTGCATACAATATCCTAATTAATTATAATGAATATTCCAACAGATTTTTACTAATGATTCATTTTTCGCCCCTACACTTTGGCTCGGCGCTCAGCTACTTGAATTAAGTGCATGTTAGAACATGCGTCATTAAAATTAACACGTAATTTTTTCTATTCGCATTGGATGAGGTCATGCTCTTGAATTAACAGATGATTTGTATTAATAAATTATTGGCGCCATCTAACGGGAACGTTAATTAAACGCGTGAGGTGCGAATAATGGAAGTTTAACGAACCTCCGCGTTTTGTTGTAATGTTACGGTTCGATATCCGTTTCGAATACTGTTTTTTTTCCAATTTGCGCAAAAATGTGGCAACAGTTTCCTATTGTCCCCGTACCCCGTGGTCGTCTGGAATAGCTTTGCGATTGATTGTACCGTTCAAGGTAATAGCGCTTTAATGCTCTACGGCGATGCTCCTACATGTACCATGAATAAGTTACATGGGAATGCTTCTCACGGATGTCATCCTTGGAATTTGATTTCTATTGTAATAGAAATCCTCCAAAAAAGACGAAGTTACGTAAGCACCCCTAAGCGCGCTTCATTTTTAAACTACAAATTATCGGTCATTAGTGGGTCTCAAATCGGAAAGTATTTAAAAATATAAATAGAAACGGTCCCCAGATAGATCCCTGTGGTACGCCAAAAATACCGGTTTTTTATTAAATATTGCAGCCTTAGTAACCACATTAATAATACATATGGGAAATTCTCATACACTTGACCTTGCTGTATTATATAACAGCGAAGAATTCGGATTTGCTCACCAATAACCGTATTTTACATAGAAATGTACAATATCGCGCCGTAACTGGATCACGCATGCTAATTGATGCAAATTGCGAACTAATCGCCCTATTATCTCTAGTACAAGAAACATGGCATTAATTAAAAACGGGTGGATTGGGTCAAGTTCATCTCTTTCTCAGTATAAATTTGAAAAGATACTTTCACTAATATCAATATATTGTCTTACAAACGCAATATTTGCTAAATAGTGCAGAAGCGAACGAGTGTGTAATTTTATAGTGGTAATTAATACAGGTACTAGTAGCCACAATCGAGATTCAATCCACTCTTGTCTTTTTTATGTTCGACTACTTAAAAGTATCGGTCGTTACAATTTATTGACATTGCTGATAGTAGATAACATTTTAGGTCATTACTCTCATTAAGTTTATATTGTTATGCATCTTGTAACTCTGTACAGAAGCAGACTAAGTAAGAAATGTTAATTACGAGTGATTGTTTTCGTTTTTAACCTTAACACTCCTTCAACCGATAAATTAGAGGTGTAAATGTTCCAACCTGATCCTTGAAATGTATACCTCAAGATCGAATAACCTACACCTTTTACTGCCCCCTTTACACGGTTCATTATCGGATGCTTCTTCCATTAACTCCGTATTTTCTTCTTTCTACTTTGACAGGGAGGAGAACATTTTTGCACTATGTGTGTGGTGGAAGAGGCATGAGGACTTCACTTAGCCCACCCACAAGTACATTGTGTTATTATGTGAAAATTTGACTTGAGTAAAAATTTCCAAAGTCACATTTAACTCAAAAACAAAACTGAAAATACCATTTAAAAAATATGTTAATGTCTTCACACATACATCATTCCTTCTTTAAGTTTTAACATGGTCTTCCAGTTTTCTTCATTCTTCCTTAATAATCTCCTCATCATTCGTTTACATCTCTTCTGAGCTAATACGTTGCTCAGTTTATGTATTTCTTAAAAAAATGCTGTTGTGGTGCCTTCATTTTGCGGCACTTTACCACCGACACCCCCTGTATATAAAACCCATGAAGTTCTTTCCTTTTATTCCTCACAAAATGTTTGCAAACTTTTCGACTACGCTTATTTCACTGTGTTATGCTAGGTGTCAGAAACGATATGCCCTGTTTGTGGCCTATAGAATCCATAATTTCAAACAGTTCCAAGATTGGGCTACTAGTTCAAAAGTTACAGCCCTTTCAATTTTTTTCTAGTAGATAACTTTTGATTGATAAGTCTGATCGAAAAAGTACGAATTGTTATGGATTCTACCCACCAAAATTAATAAGAAAAAGTGTTTTCCCGAGAATTTTTGGTGTAGTCGATTTTTGGTAAAAAAGGAAGGTTATAGGTACACTGCCTTTTTTGAGCCCCGAAGTAAAAATTGTCTCAGATCGACCCGGAAAAACAATTCTCTTATAGAATGTGGCCTATAGAAACCATAATTTCAAACAGTTCCAAGATTGGGCTACTAGTTCAAAAGTTACAGCCCTTTGAATTTTTTTCTAGTCGATAACTTTTGATTGAGAAGTCTGATCGAAAAAGTACGAATTGTTTTGGAGTCTACGCACCAAAATTAATAAGAAAAAGTGTTTTCCCGAGAATTTTTGGTGTAGTCGATTTTTGGTAAAAAAAGGAAGGTAAAACACTGCCTCTTTTTCAGCCCCGAAGTAAAAATTGTTTCAGATCGACCCGGAAAAACAATTTTCTTATAGAATGTGGCCTATAGAATCCATCATTTCAAACAGTTCCAAGATTGGGCTGCTAGTTCAAAAGTTACAGCCCTTTGAATTTTCTTTCTTAGTCGATTTTTGGTAAAAAAAGGAAGGTAAAACACTGCCTCTTTTTAAACGATGATTAAGGGTAATCATCAATCAAAATAGTAGAATGGGGAATGAATACTGACTAAAATTTTAATATTTTTAATTATCAATTTTCTTTACGGCCAGTTTCACAATAGATGATTATATATACAGGGTCGCTATTAAACATGGAACCAAAGCTCTCACGCTCAAACCGTTTGACATATACCTACACATGAAACTTTCGATTTGAAATTATTTCACATATTTTGAGGTTAAAATTTTTTTTTATACAGTGTTTGAATGCGACCGCCATCTTGAATTTTTTTTTAAAAGGCAACATAGGTCATGTGATACGTCATTAGAAAGGTTATTGTCTTCTCTTTCTTACATACATACATGATTTATGTATGATGTTAAATTAGAAAAGAATGCAAAAACATTAGTGATTAGTAATTTTTTTTTAAATAAATAAACGTTTAATGAAAATACTAGAACAGGAACAAATTACATATAAGAACGGGGTTTTAAAACATAATAAATTTCGTCAAAAGAATTACAAAAAAAAAGGTAATTTGTGAAATATGGCAACCGGTTGTTCAAATTTGTGTGCATTATTTTCTAATTTAATACCATAAGTAATTAAGGTAATTAGAAAGAGAGAAGATTAGCTTTTTAATGACGTACCTATGTTGCCTGTTAAAAAAAATCAAGTGGTGGTCGCAACCAAAACACCCAGTATAATAAAAAAAAAATTTTAACTTCAAAATATGTGAAATAATAATTTAAAATGGAAGCGTTCTAAATCTCGTGTCAATATCTTAAACGGTTTGAGCGTGACAGTTTTGGTAGCATCTTTAATAGTACAACTCACAGTGTCTAATGTATTTTTTTTTTAATTTCAGGAGATGGTTCAGGCCAAAGACCCTCCATCCTATTATCTTCATAAATTACGCACATATTTAGATCCAAAAGCTTCCAGAAGTCATCGAGTAAGTAGTTTTATGTAGCGACTGTACAGTATGGTCCACTAATAAGTGGTATTTTAATACCGCCAAATAAAAAAAAGTGCAATGGCGCCCTTCGGGTGTAGGGTAACAGTCCCAGACCAACGTACCCCATTTCCGCCTTCCATAAGCGCACCCTTGTTTGTTATTTATTATTGCCACTAACCAGCTCTTTTGGGGGCACCCAATTTGGCAGTGTGAATTTAAATTGTGGAGAAAATCAAAAGATTGCCCTCATACTTAAGCACACGGTGTATTTATCCAGAATGCTGTTTATTTTAGAAAAGAAAAATGGTGGGGGATTCCACATCGACGCAGGTACTACGCGACTTGGAAATCTCGCTGCGCACAAATCACATCGAGTACGCGTAAATGCCTTATCTTGTATTGTTCACGAATATCTTTTTAGGTGGGTACGCGAGTTTCTAAACGAGGAAAATTTAGGCTTGGACGTTCTCATAGACTATTTAAGCTTCAGATTAGGAATGATGAGGCACGAGCAGCGCATTACCGAATCGCGAACCGGATCCGAGGAACGTCTCAATGTAACCATGCAAACGACGGCCCCGCACAATACGAACACCATCGAAAAGCAAAACGGTCACGTGCGCGGTCAGAGCGAGGTGACCGATAGTCCGAGCATAAAGAGAAGGTCGAAGCATGTAGCCAAGTTGAATATGGGGGAGTCTAAGGATGACATTCACGTTTGTATCATGTGTATGAGGGCAATTATGAATAATAAGGTATTTGGTATTGCACTTGATGTGCAGCGGGCATTAAATTAATGGGTTGTAGTACGGTTTCAACATGGTGATACAACATCGTGAGGCAATCAATTGCATATCCCTTAGTTTAATTCACAAAAGTCTGCGTACAAAAGCCTTAGTATTAGAGTTACTCGCCGCGATATGTCTGGTTAAAGGGGGGCACGAAATAATTTTATCCGCATTTGACAACTTCAAGGAGATATGCCAGGAGCGGTACAGGTTTCAGACCCTTATGGACTACTTTATAAATTACGAAGTGTTTCACATAGAATTTATGGTAACATATTTCCCTTCCTGTGAGCCAATTACTCAATCTTTACTTGTAGGTAGCTTGCATGCAGTTTGTTAATATTGTAGTGCACTCAGTGGAAGATATGAATTTTAGGGTCCATTTGCAATACGAGTTTACCGCTTTGGGCTTAGACGAATACCTGGAAAGATTGAGGCATACGGAAAGCGAAGAACTGCAAGTGCAAATATCCGCCTATTTAGACAACGTGTTTGATGTGGCCGCTCTCATGGAAGACAGTGAAACAAAGACGGCGACCTTAGAAAAGGTAGCCGAATTGGAAGACGAATTAGGCCAAGTATGTACAGAATTACATCCCCCTAGCCCCACCGATTGTTTTAATTTTCAAAAAAAGTTTGTGCTCTAATTTTTTTCTGCTATTCATCTTCCCAGAGAAACGGTGGGCGGAGCTAATGAAATTCATTCCCGCCTATTGCTACTATTTCTGCAATAACTATTGATGTGTTTTGTGTTGTTTTTATTTTCGTTTGTGTCGTTTTCTACATTATCCATTACTAATATGACACTTTAATGTAGGTATATACAGGGTAAGCATATTTTATTCGCCTCTGAATATTTGCAGTAGCACATACGAAAATAATTGCGCCACAAGCGATTTCAATATTTGTCAAAAATAGCAACAATCGGAGAATGGATCCTATGGAATCGAAGATGGTGATGTATAACGGATTTATTGTAGGCGCATGACCGGTTACACGAACTGGAGAGCGAGTCTCTCGCGAAGTTTGCCGAAATTGAAACGGAATTCGCCAAAATGAGGCAGGAAAGGGATGAGTTGCTGGAAAAACGGAGATTAGTCGACGAAGAGGTCACTACGTTAAGGCGAGCCGTGCAGCACCACGAGCAGGAATCGAAAAATCGACAATCTTTGCTGGAATCGAAGATTATGCAACTCGAGTCAATTACCAAAAGTCTTCCGAAGGGAGCGTCAAGTAAGTTACCAAATTCCAAAAGTCAAATAACTTATTTCCTGTTTTGTAATTATCAACAGTTGCCGGTTTGGCTGAAATCCTGCAGATGACCCCTCCGACTTCATCTGGAGATTCCACGGAATCGAACACACCTGTGATATCTACACCATCACCGGCCCCGCCTCCTCCACCGCCTTGTCCGCCCCCGCCACCTCAACGTGTGTCGTCAGTTCCTATTCCCCCGCCCCCCGCCGGTCTAATGCAGGCGCCCGACGGCGCGATGACGATCAAACGCAAAGTACAAACCAAATACAAACTTCCTACAGTCAATTGGATACCGCTCAAGCCAAACCAAGTACGAGGTACCGTCTTCAACGAGCTCGACGACGACAGACTGCACAACAGCATAGACTTCGTCGACTTCGAAGAGCGCTTCAAGATTGGCAATATGGGCGTTTTAAATAACAGCGCGTGCGAGGTGGACGGTCTGTCGTCGTTCCCGAGTAAGCGATTTAAGAAGCCCGAAAACGTCACCTTACTCGAGCATACGCGTCTACGCAACATCGCCATCTCGCGGCGAAAGTTGGAGATGCCCGTGGATAAAGTGACGAATGCGATCAACATGTTGGATTTGAAGCAGTTGTCGCTCGAGAACGTCGAATTGCTACAGCGTATGGTGCCTACGGAACAAGAGTGTAAGGCGTATCGAGAGTACGTCATAGAAAAGAAGAATGTCAATATATTAACGGAGGAGGATAAGTTTTTGATGCATTTAACTAAAGTCGAAAGGATATCTGCAAAATTGTCAATTATGAGTTATGTGGGCAACTTTTATGACAACATACATTTAATTGCACCGGTAAGTACATGCTGTCTGTTACCATTATCAGGTCTATGCAATTTAGAGTGCTATTCCATCTTTGGCTCAATCTCGGCTTAATCTGTTTGGGGCGCTGACTGTAGGGAGCGTGAAAAAGCCTCTTAAAAAGTCCTATCTAGAATTCAATGCAATGTTTCACTACAAGCGGCGCCACTGTACAGGGTGTCCCATTAATAATGGTCACAGGTCATATCTATGGAACCGTTAATTGCACAGCTTCGGGGAAAAAATTTTGTTAACAAAAGGGGCCAAGAGAAATCGCTGGAAATTATTTTCAAGTTTGTAACTTCGCCGCTAGAGGGCGTGGCATGGTTAAGTAGACAAATGACTTTTTTCCTAAAATATACCCAACAAACATGCATAAAAAATACATGCATAGTAATCTTGTATCAATTTTGCATCATTTTGATGGAGCGCAAATTGCTCTAGCTCATAAAATATGAGGAGTGGGGGAAGGGGAACATCTCTAAGGAATTGATTGTAACTTCGGATTAGGTTAACAGATTTTCACATAATAGGTCTTGTTGAAAAGAGCTCTCTTCGTGGAATCAGATTTTACATGAAGAGAGTCTATTTAGTAAACGTGATGAGTGGTGAGGGCGCGATGTGACATTAACATAAACTTTGCAAGTTTTTTTAAAAATTTCAAATGGAACGATATAATTATTATATTATATTATCAAATAAGATGAAAAAGTGAGAATATCAGTGAAAACCGCATTTTGATATCTGAAGCAGAGATATGGGGAAAATACGAACATTCACAAATTTTAACTGCAATATTTATATTCATCCAAGTTGGATTTGAAACAAATGAACACATAGCAACCGATAATTATGTCAAAGTGAATGAGGCGATGGCAGTTCAAAATTAACACTCAACCTAAGTTTTTTAATTATGAGCAACAAAAAAATGATTCAAACTTTAAATCAGAGAAATATGAATTAAGTAAATAATAAAAGAAATAATAATTATAAATAACGTAAATGTTCAATGTCTGCCATTATTTTCGACACAAAGACGAGTCTCTGCTGTGTAGAGAGAACAGTTGCTTTAACTTCAGCCATGACTATGAATTACATTTCTAATTCTCGTCACATATCGTTTCTTGTAGTTGGCCTTGTTAAAAAGACTGTGCGTCTTTTATCCTTTCAAACAATTTAAGACTAAGCAAGTTAAGTCGAGTGACTTAGCTGGTCATGAAAAAATACTTCCTCTTTCTATCCATTTGACTCTCGCTTACCAAGAAATGTGCCGGGCGCCCATCGTGGTGATAATTCGCACGAATACGTTTAATGAAAGGACTGATAAACTTTCTTTTGTTCTGTTTTCTTTTCTTTCAAAGCCAACTTGAATGAGCATCAATATTGAAATTAAAATTTGTGAATGTATTCGTATTTTCGCCAGATCTATGGTTAGAAAACAGATATCAAAATCCGGTTTTCACTGATATTCTCACTATTTCACCTTATTTGATAATATCATATAATAATTATATCATTCCATTTGAAATTATCAAAAAAACCTGCAAAGTTTATGTTAATGTCACATCGCGCCCTCTACCACTCATCACATTTACTAAAAAGACTCTATGTAATAAAATCTGATTCCGCGAAGAGAGCTCCTTCCAACAAGACCTATTTTGTGAAAATCTGTTAACCTAATCCGAAGTTACAATCAATTCCCTTCCCCCACTCCTCATATTTTATGAGCTAGAGCAATTCGTGCTCCATCAAAATGATGCAAAATTGATACAAGATTACTATGCATGTATTTTTTATGCATGTTTGTTGGGTATATTTTAGGAAAAAAGTCATTTTTCTACCTAACCATGAATCATACGCCCTCTAGCGGCGAAGTTAGAAACCTGAAAATAATTTCCAGCGATTTCTCTTGGCCCCTTTTGTCAACAAATTTTTTTTCCCAAAGTTGTGCAATTAACGGTTCCATAGATATAGCCTGTGACCATTATTAATGGGACACCCTGTACAGCGCTTCAGAAACGCCGCGTGAGAAGAGCTCTAATTGCTAAATTGTTTTTCAAAATTGCGGCACATCTTCATTGCCTGTGGATAAGCTGGTCAGATTCTATGGAATTTGTACATGCAACGCAAATGGGTTTAACATTCTCGCATTAAAAACTAGTCTGGGATTTATTACTCTTTGGTTAGACTTATAGAAATCTGGTTGCTTGTCTATTGCTCTGAAAAATACTCAACTCAGTACCATTTTTTGCTCTGGTGGAACCACATGTGCTCGTATTCTATAGATCAGTGGTCCCCAACAGGTGGTCCGCGAACTCGTCCACAAACCATGCCAGAGGGGTACGCAAAATATCATTAGAACTAGAATTTTAAAAAATATATATTTGGTACAGTAACAGATTTTCAGTTTTTGCAGATTTCTGAGCGTTTTAGCCCGTGCTTTTCCGTCTAGCTTTATCCGGCACCTAACGCTAGCACATTCTAGCGCCGGCATTGGAACTAGATGGCCGAACAAGTGACAGTCAGTTACATAGCCAACTCGCACTTCAGACCACAGTTAGCCGTTGCGAATTTATAGCTAGTGTTGTTTACATGTGTGTTTTTGTTTTTTTTTAGTTCAAACTCAAAATTTTTTAAAGGAATTTGTTAGCAGAAAACCCAGATTTTTAGGAAAAAACGTGAGCAATAATCAAGAGTCGAACAATAACGATAAAGTCAAAATTGAACAACAAATTTTAAGCTTCATCTCAACAATGGAAAAATAAAAACTTTTAATTTGGCTATTTTCAGGTTCTTGGTACTTTCTCTGATATGGCAAGGTCCCAACCATGTATTTGTATTACATTGGCTTCAATCATTACCATTGGGGTAGGCGAGGGAGGGGGCAAGAACAGTTTTAGGTTTAAAGGCCTGTTTAGAGTTTGCAAGTTTGCAACAAATAGCAAGTGTTTACAGTCTGCAATTTTCATTGCATAGTACCAACCCTATAACTTTAAATAAGTGTGTACAAAATATCTTCGATTTGTCATTTGCATTAAACTTGTTCTTCACTTATCTATTTATTGTGCATTTCAATCAAGATAAACAACAGAGATATCAACACATTCAACACACTTCACATCCTTGGTGCCATAGTAATTCTAGATGGTGGCATTAAAAATTCCCCTAAAATAGTCACCAGAATTGCAATTGCAATGCAATAAAAATCGCTCCGGATCTACTTCTGGCAACGCAATAAAAATTGCAACAGCTGAAAGAAAACGCATAGTGTCTACAGCCTTAAAATGCAATATTGCAAATAGTATTTATTTACTATACATCAAAATGTAGTAAATTTTCAAAAACTTACAAAATATATAGGGTGGTCCGTATGAAAAAATGTAGTTTAGGGTCATATAAAAAAATCTTCAATAATAAAGAAAGTTCTGGAGTATTAATAAAATCGACTAAATTCAAGAAACGCCCCCTGGCGGCCAAAAGATTAGAGATAAATTGGTTTGACCTTTTGCGACAACTGCTAGGTAGTATGTGCCTGTGATCTGTGTTACTGGCATTCGTAAAGCCACAATTTATAGTCACTTAGGTGAATGGGACCATAGTGCAAAGAACAATCTTTGCCGACCAAAACTGTTCTTCTTGTGAGAAAAAAGGGGATTGGGTTGATTCAGGCATCCAATTCCTTCCCAATTGCAACGTCCCTTATGAGCAGATTCAGACATTATTATATTATTCCACTGATACCTGAGTGTGCAGTTATGATATGAAGTCATTCAAATTTTATGGACACTGTTTTTAGATTGACAATATACAGTGATATTAAGAAGTGGACATAGGGTCTACATGTATTGTTTTTCCTTATGTCTACTTTTAACTGACAAAATCTCTTCAGAAGAGCGCCTAATTTTATGAAACCTTCCAAATTAAAACAAATAAAGATCTGGCTGTCATATTAATTAATTTGAATATTGTTGCTTTAGCTACACAGAAAATAAATCTCTTGACAATATCAACAAGTAGACATAGGGAAAAACAATACATGTAAATCCCTATAATAATAATAAGTATCACTCTATATGTGTCTCATCTGGCCATTCCTTAGGCAGCTACTGACTTAAAATAATTAATAATTAATTAATTAATAATTAATTGCAACTTTTGTTTCTGTTACAATTAGAAAGGTGCAACAAAATTGTGTCCGTTTTCTACTTAAGTGTATTTTTGCATTGCATTTATCGTCTGTTAAATACTCCCAATGAACTATTTGCTCTAAATTGCTCTCAAAAACCTTTTGTTATTATTGTTATTTATTTGCAGCAAGTACACGCAGTAATTTCCGCTTCCAATTCCGTTAAAAATTCGAAAAAACTTAGATCGGTATTAGAAATAATCCTGGCCTTCGGAAATTACCTAAACAGTAGCAGGAGAGGTCCAGCTTATGGCTTTAAACTGCAATCTTTGGAATCCCTATTGGATATAAAGTCGACTGATAAACGCATGTGCCTTCTACATTACATAGTCACGACGATTCGACAGAAATTCCCAGAATTACTGAACTTCGAGTCCGATCTCTTATATATCGAGAAAGCTGCCAGTGGTAAGTGTTGTTGGGGGGTAGTTGCAAGTAATCGTTTGGTTTCGTGCAGTGTCACTGGAAAATGTGGTAACTGACGTGCACGAATTGGAAAAGGGAATGGATATTGTACGAAAGGAATCCGACACTAGGGGTAAGGGTGCGCAAAGCGTCGTGTTGAAAGACTTCCTATCGAATTCCGAGGAGAAATTGAGAAAATTGCGGAACGACGCGAAGGTTGCGCAGGAATCGTTTAGGGAGTGTGTCGAATATTTCGCAGAGTCATCACGTACTACTGATGCAAACACTTTCTTCTCACTGCTCGTTCGTTTTGCAAAAGCGTTCAAGGTAAGAATTTTGTGTGTAATGTTGATTTCTCTTACAAAATCCAATTGTTTATATTCTTAATCCTTTTGTGTTTCATTTAGGTTGCAGATCAAGAGAATGAGCAGAGGCGGAGGTTAGAATTGGCAGCTCAAAACTCCAATAAAGTCAACGAGGATGTGATTAAACGAAATAAAATCAATCAGAAAAAACAACAGGTAATTTACAACCAGAAATCAGTAACGAGCCCCTCTTAATCGTGTCATGTTCAACAGGAAGCGGTAATAAACGAACTGAAGCACAAAACGAGAATGGTGCAGGAGAAAAAATTACTGCATCAAGACGAAGTATACAACGGGGCCTTAGAGGATATACTTTTAGGATTAAAAAGTGAGCCTTACCGACGTGCCGACGCCGTTAGGAGAAGTCAACGGCGGCGAATTGACAATAATCGACTCTCTAAAACGATGGAGGAAATGGAATTTTAGCGATCCAGTGAACAACGGGCAATTAACCAAATACTTATGACAATTCTGAGATACAGAAGTAAAAAAAGAAATATAGTGTACATATTTTTATTATAAATTATTGTCAAATTTTCGAATTTTTTTTATAGATGTATAGTTTTTATTAAAAATGACAAATTTAGGGGTATTTATAGATATTTATATACACTACTAGGAGACTCTCTGACTTTTGTATAAAGCTCCACTATAAATAAGCCAAATTTTCAGTTTTTATTCTGGTTATATGCAGATATTCGCTGTTTTGTATATAAAAAAGCTGTTATTTTTTAATAATAAATATTTAAAGAATACAATTATGTGTTTAGAGCTAGAATTATAGTTTATTATTTTTATTGTTAGATTATTAAACAGTGAGTGTTTGCAGCAGTTTTCAAAAGAACTCTTGTGTTTCATTTCATAATTCTCGCTTTATCGTCGTGTATACAACTTTTATTTTATAGCAGAAGCCATGTGAATTCTTGCAAAACTTGTGAAAATTCTAAATTTAATTTAGATGTCAAAAATAGCAAGCTTAGGTTAACCGGGTCTAAACTTCATTTGATTTTGTATTCCGCGTCCCATTTTTAATTAGAATTACAGATGTCCTTAGAAGGACAATCATTTGTTTCACTTTGTATACTCTTGCCGTTAACGTGATTTTTTCCACTCTTGCCGTTAAAGAGAGATGTAGTCTGCACTCAGATTAACAATTAATTGTTAATCTGAGAGTCTGCACATTCAAACCATTAAAATGTTGATTGAACATTACATAAAATAATGTAAAGTTCTCTATATTTTGTAGTGATTTGGAGTAGTTTATGGTCAGTACTTGGCTTTGCTGTGTGCTTACTATGTTAGACTCGGACGTCAAAAATATATAAAGCTGAAATTTGGGACACAGATAGACTCAGTGATGTTCCCATCAATTTCTTTGAGAGTGTACTTAGTTGAGCGGCTGGTTGTGATGTTCCCTTTAAAACACGAGGGGAGGGGGTGGTCATCCCCTAATAAATTTATAAAAATTTGATGACTTAGAGAGGTAGTGATTTAATGTTTAACTTCGGAAGTTAGCGCCCTTAGGCAGAGGGGCACAAAACACGTCGTCACGCTACTTCCTTTTAGTTTTGTGGGAGCGTGTTTGGAAACAAAACCGTCTTGAGGTTTCGGATATGTATCTTTTGGTTATAGTAATGATGTTATAGGCAAATAATGCGCATCAGCTGTTGGCTCTATTTCAAGCTGTGAAATCAGACTTTGGGTCTAAGCAAAAACGTAAGTGCTGTGACAGTTCAGTTCTGTTGGAACACCCTGTACAAGCATCAAAATCCTCGGATTTTCAAATTTCATTGACATTCTGCTACGTGGTAATTTAAGTAGGTATATGAAATGGTGTGCAAGGAAGGTATGATTAAATTAACAGGATACGAACTACGGAAATAAAAGTGGAAATCTAATAATTAATTTCCAAAATACCAACAGAAATTGAACTACTGTCCGTGCTCAACTGTGGTGGTAGCACTGGGCACTGATCTTGTTTTTCTCTTTTAACCCCGATCCTTAACTTTGAACGAGCTACGATATTTAATGCTGCCTTAATCTTTATAAAATTTGTAATTTTTTTGATATTGACTTAATAAACAGCTTCCAAATGCGTTAGTAATTAATTTAGGGCTTCGAATCGCTTATTAAATAAAAATCAATTTGGCACCAACTGTGACGTCACAACCAGTTCTAGGGGAAAACCGAAGACCGAACATTAAATGCATATGGCGTCTTCATGTCAGGATCGGTTGAATGCAATTTATAAATCTGGCTTTTTTTCTATGATCTAAATAGCATCCAAGCTTCTAATTATAAGAGAATTACATTAATGACTAGCGAGATACCCGATGAAATACTATTTGAGAGGAAAACTCGAGCTATCGGACGTTAAAAACTGAAAGAAAGATTATGGCCTCTTTCTTAAGATTGTGAAGTTATAGTGTGTTTTTGTGTGTTAATGTCGCCGAGAAAAGGATATTCTTCACTGTGGTAAGTTTTCTTTCCTGTTTTTTTTATTTGTAAATGAAATATTTGGAGCGTTTTGCTTGTACGACCCACCCAAAAACACATCGTCATTCAAGGTCACTTACGTCAACCATTCAAAACTTCAATTTTGTTGTATTTTCAGAATTTCTACGCTTACCATTTTCTAACATTTTTTTTTCAAAATTAATTTATTAACAGGGTATTTGAAAAAATGTTTACAAATGGTAGTATGACGTACATAACCTCTAAGTTACTTTGGCCTAATGTGGGACTTATTTTTGTGTACCTAGTGCACAATGTAGTTTTATTTATGCAAAAATGAGGAGTACAATTTATGTCACATCGCGACTTATTCCTTTCTTCCTCTTTCCACAAAAGCTCACAGTCTTTAAATTAGTGCCGGCAGTTGAGGCAAAGTATTTTCGAAATATGACTTGGGCAATTTGATTTAGCAACTTCCTCCTACAAAGATTAAATATCTATGAGATAAGAGTAGGCAATTCATTTTTCGAATTGAAGTTCTTGAAAAATTTATATAGGGCGGCGAACCGAAACAAATAGTATTACGGTTCAAAATGTTTCGTTTGGGAGCTACATCCTTTAAATGATTTTCATTTACAGTTGTATTCTTTCTACTCGGTTTTCTGTTTATGGATATTTTGCTTAAATATATACTTAAACAATCTGGGCGTTTTTTTCGAGGTTGTTTTCTCATTATAGGGTGTTCAATATTTAGGTATGTATGAAGGCTGTTCAAGATCCTGGTTTTATAAGAATCTTACAAATTCTAAAAGCTTCTGGAAGAACTTTTTCATCTCTTGGAATCTCCTCGAGATACTTTGTCAATTTTTCATGACTCTTAAAGGCCTCTGAAAGGCTCTTTTGGGAGGATTTTAGACTCTTAAAACATTTAGGTGCTTACAGATTCTCGTGGCTTTAAGAAGCTCTTGGACTGTTCTTAAATCTTCTTGAAGGTTCATTGAAATTTTTGGAATCACTTGAATCTTTTTTTAATATTATTTCTGATGTGTTATATTTTTGAAAAGAGAGGTTAATATCTTATGTTTTTAGGGTAAAATATACAGGATGCTCCATTTTTAAAAAAATCCCTTTCAGCTTGGCCGATCAGGTGTAGGTAGATTTCTTTAAAGTGTCCGCCATTTTGTTCCAATATGGCGGAATTGATTAATTCACGAACTTGGCCGAGATATTTATGGGTTACACCGAGGGTTACACCAACCCTTAAAGTTTGGTCGAAATCGGTTCATGATTACAAATAATGTTAGAGTGTTTCTTGGAAGTGATAAACCAATACAATAGGTAAGCAGATAGAAATCTACCTAAAATGCTCGCTAAAATGAGATTTGGTCCAATAACTTTTTTACGTTATCTCGTATACTTACATACATATTTTGAAAATGGTAGATCATTCAAAAATTATTATAAACAAACTTTTGTAATAAACCATTTTTGTGTATCTTGTTTAACTAACCAAAAATGTATAGGGTCATTCTGAAATTGTATACATTTTATTTTATTTTCAGTGTTAATATGCTTATCAAGCGATTAAAAAAATTCAGTTGGCAATGGAAGTGTAATTGTGAACATACCACGTAACTGACAATTCATTAGACAACTGGAAATAAATTGACAGTTCCGTCTGACAATTGTTTGTTCACGATAAAGACCTTATCACCTCCAACTATGACGCTGAATTTTTTGAATCGCTCTTTAAATGTTTCATGGCTGACTTTGATGGTAATCAATTTCCAAAAAGCAATTAAACCACCATTTTAAGTGTTTAATAACTCAACAATGGTTTAAGCTAGAGACGAGGTTAGAGGTATCGTGGTAAATATTGGCCATTACGAAGATAAAATATACAGGGTGTTTTGTTAAAAAAAATATATTATTTTTTGTACCCTTCAGCTATAATGTTGCGCCACTGTGTCTTTTGAGATACATTAAGACGACTCGTCACTCCTACAACGTTTACATATAATGTGTACCTCTCTCTGCAATAATAACAAAAATATGCATTGGGTAATTATAGACGTCAACAAATTGGCACCCGCTCCCCCTGATTGTTGCGAATTTATTAAAAATGGTCATCAGCAGTGGCGTAACTAGGTAGGTGCCAAAGGTGCCGCGGCACCGCGCTCTGAATGGGGGAGGGCGCGCCGGAAGCGCTGAAGCACCGAAGGCACTAAGTCGAGATGGGCATCGCGGTGTACCGTATAGGCCAGTCATAAAAAACAAGAACGGCGGTTAAATTCTAATAGTTTGCTAAAGACGAATACAGGGTGCAGTGAAATATAATTAAAACTAAATTTACGGTCCTTTAGGATGAACGGAACATCCAAGGGATTTCAGCGCATTTTTGTGTGGCAGATCAGTACTTTTATTAGCCAGTTTTGACTCCACAATCAATAAGATCTTGTCAGGGGGCTACCAAATTCCCTTTGTCGGTACCCACTTCGGACGCCTCCACAGACAGCGGAGGTATACAAAGTTTTAATCAAAACACTTGTACCACGCTATGATAAGCGCCTCAATATGAATGGCGACTATGTTGAAAAATAGCCTAAGAGTGTAGCTTCCAAATGTATATAATAAAAGTTGTTTCTTACACTTTCTTAACTTTTTATTTCAAACCGTCTGCTACTTTTTGAATGGCCCTTGTAGAACAAAGTTACAGCGGTAGGAATAGGCTGCAAATTTAAACTAATAATAATAATACTTTATTTGTGATCTATACAATAGTCTGTATTAGTATGACCTGCATTTGCACCCTTATTCTAAGACGCAATCATTTCTACGACTTGTACCCTATGTTATAGCTAAATTTGACACGAGAATTGGAAACAATATAAATAAATGTATTTCTATTCTTCGTTGAGTGAAAGACTTCACTATTCAAAGCATTTTTCTAAAATTTAAGTAGCGCAGTGCTTTTAAAATTTCGTGTAAAGTTTCTTTCAAAAATGTACGGTGTTTTATTAATTAGAGCTCAATGGTAAGTGATAAGGCGCCAAAACCTGATCCGGCACCGCTTCGAAAAATGCCTAGTTACGCCACTGGCCATCAGTAGGTGTAACTTTCAGATTTAATCTGGAAATTGTCACATACGTATTTATACATATTTTTTATAAACCTCGTTATAAACAAATTATTTTGTTGTTATTCACAATATCATTGATAATGCAGCGAGCGTTTTGAAGCGCTCTCTGAAAAATGCGAGGAAAAATGCTTAAACAAATTGTCCCCGCAAGCATTTTTTTTCTCTTTGTGTGGAAATTCTGATAACAGATTCAGATTCTCTGAAAAAAACCATAGAAAATGGTAGTGGGAACCATCCATTTCCGAACATTTAAGCTAAGGAAAATGAAAACGAAATTTGACGTTTTCAGTTTTTCAGTTGTATCTCTCAGTTATTTTACCTACATACAGCCGGAGACTAATTTATTATTTAAAAGTTACTGGAGATTATGACCAGGGGCGGACTGGCACGGGGGGGGGGGCCTGGCCTGTAGATCATAATGGCCCGTTGGAAATTTATAAGTATGTGCTGTATTTAGTTTCTTGCACTATTAATAAATTATTAACACGTTTCTCTAATTGGGGTTAATGTTAGGTTGTTAAAAAATTCTGTTTTAATTGAAGTGTTTTACAATGAATTTATCATTTTTTCTCGTAGCATGAAAGTGCTGAAATACAATGATAGGCGACGCACCTCGTGTGGATTGTATATTTTGTTACTTTTAATTATCAGCTGCAATTTAAAAAAAAAACTGTATGGTAATTGATTTTCGAGAAAGGAGTACTTTAAAATGTTTTTGTGGTGCAGGCAGGCAGTGTATAACCTTCCTTTTTTACCAAAATTCGACTACACCAAAATTTCTCGGGAAAACACTTTTTCTTATTAATTTGGGTGCGTAGAATCCAAATCAATTCGTACTTTTTCGATCAGACTTCTCTATCAAAAGTTATAGACTAGAAACCAATTTCGAAAAAAATTCCCAGGGCTGTAACTTTTGAACTAGTAGCCCAATCTTGGAACTGTTTGAAATTATGGATTCTACAGGCCGCATTCTATAAGAGAATTTTTTTTCCGGGTCGATCTGAGACAATTTTTTTTTCGGGGCTCAAAAAAAGGCAGTGTATAACCTTCCTTTTTTACCAAAAATCGACTAAACCAAAATTTCTCGGGAAAACACTTTTTCTTATTAATTTTGGTGCGTAGAATCCAAAACAATTCGTACTTTTTCGATCAGACTTCTCAATCAAAAGTTATAGACTAGAAACCAATTTCGAAAAAAAGTTCAAAGGGCTGTAACTTTTGAACTAGTAGCCCAATCTTGGAACTGTTTGAAATTATGGATTCTACAGGCCACATTCTATAAGAAAATTTTTTTCTCCGGGTCGATCTGAGACTTTTTTCGGGGCTCAAAAAAAGGCAGTGTATAACCCTCCTTTTTTACCAAAAATCGACTACACCAAAATTTCTCGGGAAAACACTTTTTCTTATTAATATTTAAAATAAAACTGTATGGTAATTTATTTTCGAGAAAGGAGTACTTTAAAATGTTTTTGTGGTGCACCTCAAAGCACCCCCCCCCCCCACCATCATTACTACACTAATACTTTAATGGCTCGTAACCTATGCAATTCCACCTGGCCCCCAGTTACCCAGTCCGCCCCTGATTATGACCGCAACACTTTACGGGTTTTCGGGCTCAGGTTCAGGGTGTTATTTAAAAATACATTGAGAGTAGCACTGCTAGACACCAACAAACCAGACTGAAAGTTTTGCAGTTGTATAAATTGTTCACTCTCGCTCAATATGTTTGCAATAAACAATTGATCACTGCTAGCTTAGTAATTGTTTAATACTTTTAGAATACTACCCTGGTATGGTAGTAAACCAGCACTAACTACTATGTGCTGGCAGCGTTCTGGTTTAATATAAAATGGAGAAGAGCCGTCATGGGAAGCACAGCAAGGAAAAATCCAAGCGATCCAAGAAGCGCAAGTTTCGTGAAGAATCCTCGGACAATCATAACGTGGTGATCAAGACCACCACAAAACCGTTAGTTGAATATTCGGATGTAAGTTCGGAAGATCTCTCTGGTCCAGAAGCAGGTGAAATCCAAAGTGGTGGCGAAAGTGTTTTTAGTTATAGTGATGATTGTGGTTTAATCAATAATTCAATGCATAGAAGCTACTACAATACCAACCGTCATTCGCACGCCAGTCGCGTTTTGGAGGAGGAGTACTATGTCGGTCGACAGGTACCGTTTTCGCCGTCTCGTCGGGTTATGCGCTATGATACATCCATAAATCCGTTATCGCCATCGTCGCCTGTCGAACGGCGGGAACGCCAGCTGTCGGCGTCCTCGCGATCGTCTCGTTCCAGTGAGGTCAAAATGCGGAGAAAGGTCGATGTGTCGCCGGGTGGCGAGTTCCGACAAGTAGTTGAATCGCCTGCGTACACTTCAGAGTATGACACTACGGAGAAAAGGAAAAAAAAGAAGAGAGATAGGAAACGGAAGAAAGATAAACGAAAGAAGAAGAAGAAAAGGAAGCATAAATCAAGAAGCACTAGTGTGGAGACTGTTGATTCGGACTCGCCTACCACTCCACCTCAGAATTTGAACAGAAAGTCTACTCCACATCTCGACTCTGAGCCCCTATCTGACTGGGAACCGCCGGCAGTGGAACCGAGACATCAGTCGCCCATCAATGTAGAAAGAATAGTAACCAATGAGTGTTCGCCGGTTTCCAACGATAGCCACATTGCGTCACCAGAACCCGAAGAAGTGAAGATGAGGACGCCCAGTCCGAAATCGATAACACCGCCGCCACGCAAAGCGTTAAAGGACTCTATGTCGACGCGCGAATCGCCCCACACTCCTCCATTGGTGCTAACAAAGTCAAATCCGATAGTAGTCAGCGATCACAAAAGTCCGAGCCCGTTTACGATAGACGTAGAGGAATCCTTCGTAGAATACGGTTCCAAACAGAGCCTGTCGCCGGTAAAGTCGTCCCCTTTCCGCAATCCGAGCCCGGACTACAACGCCTATCACGTGCCCGCTCGCCAGAGCGATTCGCCGATACGTAAACGCAAGAAATTCGAACGCGACGGTCCCAATCACAGGCGGCATAGGAAAGAGCGCGAGATGCTGAGGGACAAACGCAGAATATCGCGCAGTCCGATGCGAAGGAGGGTCTCGCGCTCGCCGAGCTGGAACAGACATCACTACACGAAATCACCGAACAGGACGAAAGGTATGAAGAGGCACAGGTCGAGAAGTCCACGAATGGTGCGCGAAAGAGACTATCGACATTCACGATCGCCTACGTCAAGGTGAGTGGGTGTTTACAGATTTTTTTTATATATTATATACAGGGTGTCCCAACTTAAATTTCCGCTACGGAAAATTTCCCACTAGTAGTATAGTAACACCGGTTCTGGCGCATGCTCCAATTCCAAGGTTGAACTACTGCGCATGCACCAAGTGAATTGAAGGTCATCGTGGTTGTTGTCTAAACTCAATTCGATTGTGGTTGTTGTCCTAAATAATTAGGGTTCGTGCCTGAACTAATGTCATTGAAGGTCATTGTGGTTGTTATCTAAACTTAATTCGATGGCGGTTTTTGTCAGGGTTCGCGCCTGAAATAATGTCACTGAAGGTCAGACGTAGCCGCTAGTTCTGTGCGCAGTATTCAAGGTCCTAGACAGAGGTTGCATCTAAGCAACGTCACTGTTGTATGGTCCTTATTTGATATTAAATGGGGTATTCGTATATATCTCAATTAGAGTAGTATAGTAAGGCCGAGCGCACTTTGACCTTGAATTCTGCGCATTCGCCAATTCCAAGGCTGAACTATTGCGCATGCACCAAGACATTGAAGATCCTTGTGATTGTTGTCTAAACAAAAAGAGGTCTGTTCATTAGAAACATGTATTTCAGGAAAAACAGGTCTGTTAGTTTAGACAAGAACCACAATGACCGTCAGTGACTTGGGACATGCGCAGTAGTTCAACCTTGGAATTGGCGCCTGACTGAATGTGCTCATATCGGCCACTCTCACTTACTCAAATTTATTTATTTGTAACTGTTTCCAATTTCAAGTTTAACAGTAACATGAAAGACCAATCCTGAAGAAATTTTAGTTGGGACACTCCATATACAGGATGTAACATATAGGTAGGAAAACATAATTAGGAGGTAATACATACAAGGATAGAACTGATGAGGTAAGACAAAGTTTTTTTGTTGTATCTTTGATTTTATAAAATTGTTTTCTTCTTTGTATACACTATACAGGGTATTTTTTTGGGAGCTTTAGTTAAACGTTTCTGGGAAGTAAAATAGGTAGGTTTTTGAAAATTTGTACTTAGGAGTTACTCTGAAGGCCGAATCGATGTAAAATATTTTCAAAATGGCCACACTTCCGGAAACACCGGAAGTAGGTAGTAATTCCGTTGTTTTAAAGGGCAACCCCTATTTTTTTATTGCATTTTTGGATTCTACGTGAAATTTCAATTCTTTTGATACCCATATGTCGATATCTGCCATTTATGGTTTTTAAGTTATTTTGACTTTAAGAAAAAAAATGGCGGATGCAGATGGACCTTGATAATTGATTACTTGAAAACGGTTGTAGTCATGGCAACCCATTTTTATCAGTGTATAGAGAATGAATAGGGCTTTCTTTTAGTGTGCTTAAAAAAAAGTTAAGTTGCGTACAACCGCACCTATGGAGATCCAAATTTAAGAAACAAAAAAAAGGGAAATAAGTCAGAAACTGTTAAAGATAGCTATAGGAACATGTAATATCAAAATATGCCAATTTCGATTCTCTGTCTCATGCAATATTAAGAACATGGTCATTCCATTTAAAAAAAACTGACTTTATAGACTTTAAAGTTTCTTAAATTTGGATCTCCATAGGTGCAGTTTTACGCAACTTAACTTTTTTTTAAGTACACTAAAAAAAAGCCCTATTCATTCTCTATTCACTGAAAAAAATGGGTTGCCATGACTACAACCGTTTTCAAGTAATCAATTATCAAGGTACCATCTGCATCCGCCATTTTTTTTCTTAAAGCCCAAATTAACTTAAAAACCATAAATGGCTGATATCAACATATGGGTATCAAAAGAATTGAAATTTCACGTAGAACCCAAAAAGCCAATAAAAAATAGGGGTTGCCCTTTAAAATAACGAAGTTACTATCTACTTCCGGTGTTTCCGGAAGTGCGGCCATTTTGAAAATATTTTACATATCGATTCGGCCTCCTAAGTACAAATTTTCAAAAACCTACCTTTTACTTTCCCAGAAACGTTTAACTAAAGCTCCCAAAAAAACACCCTGTATAATCATAACAGTCTAGACATTTAAATATGTGTACATCCTGTGTATATTCTTACGTTAAATAAAGTCTACACTATCATGCAATTGGTGAACATTTTCAGATTAGAAAAAATTCGAAGCCCTTCCCCACATTCCATTAAATCGTCGCAACTCAAAAACAAAATAACTGACACCAGCTTATTCGCGGAGCTCGTGAAAGACAAACAAAAAAGAGAAATGGAGTTGAAGAAATTAGAAAATTTACTTGAACAGAAAAACGACATGACCACAACGATCATTGTGGACGATACGGTGGATTCGAAAGATTGCGAACCGGTAACGGTAGCGATCGACGATATACCGATACCTTCAGACAATAATAAAACGGAAACGACGCCCGTGAAGTTAGACGAAATTGTATTACCGAACAGTACGACGCCGGCTCCTACCGATAGGAAACCATTGACGCAAAATTCTTCTAGCGATCCTCCGTTGCCGACACCACCTTCGGCGGAATTGCCGCAGCCGACTCATCCCGTGCCGAATTCGTTTGATAAAAAAATCGCGTTGGCCAAAAGGGCTCTTAATATGGACACGAATAAAGTCAAATCGAAGAACATAACGAAACTACCGATGCCGCCCGGTATCAATCAGGGTGATTTGGAGGTGATCGAGTCGCCGCCGAGCAGATCACCCAGTCCCGTACCTGCCAAAGCGAAAACGCCACCTAGGAAGAGTATTGTGAACTTGCCATTGCCACCAGGTTTGGTCCGATTTTTTGTTGACTTATAATAAAGTTGTTGTAGTTGTTCCAGGTAGCGAGGAGTTGAGCGGCGACGACGAGAACGTCACCACGCCCCCTAGGCAAGGCGCGAATAAGGGAACAGAGCGCGTTCGTGCGTTGCCGAAGCCCAAAATCAAGAGGCCGAAGATTTTGAAACGGAAGGGGTCGCGGACCGGGAACGTGAGCAAGGATTGGGGCGAGCGTTGCGTGGACGTTTTCGAAGTAATTGTACAAATCGGAGAAGGTTTGTTTCTTTGTTAATCATTTTATCACTATCTTGAGAGTCTTGAGTAAGCTCATTAAGAGTATCTCCTCTTATTAGATTAGTGTTGGAGAGACATCCATGAATGTGGTAATTTTTATAAAGCACGCAAACTTGACCAGATGTGTCTTATTTAAAGCATCTTATCTAAATTGAACAATTCTAAAAGGAAAAACAAACTCTGAAATACAAATTCAAACAAAAAAAAAACAACCGTGTACTTATTTCCCAAATAATCCCCCAGATTGACTTAACAAATTGGAATATTGTCATATACAGCATGTACCTTCATTATTTTTGTTGTTTATTATTGTTATTATTATGTATTTATTTGTGCTGTATTCTACACGTCAAAGGAAGAGAGAAAATATGGACTCATACTACATTGTTAAAATTAAACTTGTAGAAGTCTTCGAGTAGAATGTGTTGCTGATCAATATTTTCACCATTGTACCGAACTCCTCTTTTCCAGATCTCTCAACGTATTTGGTAGCACATTGTAGCATGTTTTGGTATAATAGTGGACGTCTCGTCTTTTTACTGTGTGGTAAAAATCCATAACCAGGTTTCTTTTTGTTCTAATGTTGTAGTGGCACTTGTCACCTGTTTTGCAATACAATGCATGCAAATTTGATCAAATATTGTCTAGTTTAAAAAAATATATGACAATAAATTGTTTTAAAATCCGTCCTTCAGGACTAAAACTAGCAAAAATCGAAAAATAGAAAAAAGGCGTGAAAACTTGAATTTTTTACATCCATATTTACACTAACAATTTAAAACAATAATATTAGAGATGATAATTTGACTGTACTATCATAAAAAATGAGTATTCTTTTATACAGGGCGTTTCAAAAAGAATCATCCGATTTTGTAGGTTTATAATTTGTTTAGACGCCATTTTGACAATAACTGAGCTGGGCGTTGACAGAAGCGCGCTACTGCTACCTAGCGGAAACCACGCGAAACTCGAGAGCTTCCTCTTACTAACAGTACATTGTTCTATCAAATCGGACTTATAGATGAATAGCAATAAATTTTTAAAATCGGATGATTCTTTTTGAAACGCCCTGTATTTATTAGGGGTGTTGTCTACTGTAAACATGAAAATAACACCGCATAAGAATTGCGGAGACAAACCAATTAATTGAATTGTTTTTTTTTTGTTAATTTGCCGTTTCTTAACCATCTGTACACGCATTGCAGGTACTTACGGGCAAGTATACAAGGCGCGAGATTTTCAAACGCACGAATTGGTCGCCTTGAAGAAAGTCAGACTGGAAAATGAAAAAGAGGGCTTTCCGATCACCGCCGTTAGGGAGATAAAAATTCTCAGACAGTTAAACCATAAAAACATAGTAAATTTAAAAGAAATAGTCACTGACAAGCAGGACGCCTTAGATTTTCGAATGGTAAGTGCGGAGAATTCGCGCGGGCGGTTACAGACTTGTGATTTAGGACAGGGGTTCGGTTTATCTCGTGTTTGAGTACATGGACCACGATCTGATGGGTCTTCTCGAGTCCGGGATGGTCGATTTTAATGAAGTTAATAATGCGTGTATTATGCGACAACTTTTGGACGGACTAAATTACTGCCATAAAAAGAATTTTTTACATCGTGATATAAAGTGCAGTAATATTTTAATGAATAATAAGTAAGTTTCGCCACTGGAATACGTTTTGCCCTTGTTTGGGGCAATGTACAGTGACTATACTAGACAGTGGCGGCAGTGTTGGTCAAATTATGTGGCAAACTTCAATTATTAAAGTATTCCAGTGGTAATTTTTTTTACATGTTTGAATTTGCCTCAACATGGCGAGTGGGCGGAGTCTGAGCTCAATTGTCGCCACTGTTTTGTATAAAGTCACTGTAGGGTAATGCGTTAGCAGCAGTCATGCGAATTAAAAATTATTTGTAACGTTTAGGTATTGACATTTTGAAATATTTGCAGAGGAGAAGTGAAGTTGGGCGACTTCGGGTTAGCGCGTTTGTGTAACACAGAAGAGCGACCGTACACAAATAAAGTAATAACGTTATGGTACCGTCCTCCCGAATTACTTTTAGGACAGGAACATTACGGTCCCGCGATAGACGTTTGGAGTTGCGGTTGCATTCTAGGAGAATTATTTCTGAAAAGGCCGCTTTTCCAAGTAAGCCGAACACCTCATCCGCGACTTGCGTTCACACCTCTTTTTTTAACAGGCAAACTTAGAAGCGCAACAATTAGAAATGATCTCAAGACTGTGCGGCACACCAACACCGGCCGTTTGGCCTTCCGTCATAGAGCTGCCAAATTTCAACCTGCTCAAACCAAAAAAAATCTACAGGCGGCGGATACGCGAGGAGTTTATTTTCATGCCGACTTCTGCGCTTAATTTATTAGATAAAATGTTAGAGTTAGATCCGAGTAAACGAATTACTGCCGAGGACGCATTGAAGTCAATGTGGCTCAAAAACATCAATCCAGAACAGTAAGTATGGTTTTTAGTCACTAGTCTACTAGCAGGTGTGCCGTTAATTGCCACAGAATTTCACAATTTATTTTTGAGTACATGAAATGGTGGGAGAAAGGTTGTCATCTGTACTCATTTGGGTATCTACCCGAACGCTTTCTTTACAAGTTAAATATCCATTCCGTTCTTTATTTCTTACTTCTTAGAAACCATATGAATCGCGAACGAGTCCAAGCATTTGTGTTTATAACGGTCACGAAAAAAAATGTATTAAGTGATTGATACCAAACAAACATGTACATACAGTGTGTCCCCGGATTGAGTGCATATGCTGTGTATATGACAAATTTTTTTCGAGTTAGATCTTGATATTCAACAAAAGTTATTCATCTGTTTATTCACTACAACTTTTATTTCGAACAATTTTGCCTAAAATTAATACTTTTGCCACAATTTACAAAATACCACTTTCAAGCCCGAGTTGTGTATGTTTTAATTATTTTTCCCCGATTTTGAATCACTTGACCTACATAAAAAACCCGGTTTGGAACGAGAACTAATTTTTTTTGTCAAATAATATTATATAGCCTGAACTAGTAAACAATAAAGATCTTTAAGGGTATTTCAGAGTCTCCCAAGTGTCTCTAACTCGGCCTTCTGGAGGAAAGCTTCTTCAAAAGCTCTCAATTGTTTCCACAGGTTTCTAATGATCTTCACAAGCTTTTAATAATTTGTAAGAGTGCATTTAAGAGTCGAGCTTATAAAAATCGTTAACAATTTGTAAAGACTTCCAAAATCCTCCAGGAGTCTATAAGATTCTCGTTTTTAATAAAGTTGATGAGTTTTTAGTTTCCATAGACTTTCAATAGTCTTCTAAGAGGCTTTGAGAGCCTCAATTGGCCTTTAAGAGCGTTGAAAAATTCCGTATACGCTTTAATAGTGTTGAGAGACCGTGAAGAGCCTTTAAAAATAGCAAATATCTCCAATAGCCTCCCGAGGTCTTTTAAAATCTTCCTTAAGATTTTGTCTCTTTACACTTTGAGAGCTTTTAAGGGTCTTGAAGAGTTTTTTAGAATTTTCAAGGCTTTTAAGAAAGGTATACCCTTAAGAAACCTGCCCAAGCGTCGAAGGATCTCCGCTTAAGTCGCTCCAATAATTTTTAGCGCATTTTTGGAAAAAAATACGCTATTATATTCGTTATGGCTGGCTGGCTGGCCGTCTGGCTGATATCTCGGCAATTACAATAGCTAGCAAGATTTCAAATTTTCACTAAAAGCTTTCTGATGTAGTGTAGATGTGCAGGCTCTATCTAGGTCTATTTTGAGTTAGATTACTTATGAGATTGATAATTGAAGAAAATAATTTCCGACATGGTTTTCGGAGGTGCTATAATTTTTCCGTTAGATAGCGCTACCAGTAGAACAACTTAATTATTAGCGCATTTTTGAAAAAAAAATACGCTATTATATTGCTGGCTGGCTGGCTGTCCGGCTGAGATCTCAGCAATTACAATTGCTAGAGACTTTACATTTTCACTAAAAGCTTTCTGTTATAGTGAGATCGATAATTTTAAACTTTGCTAATGAAATACTGACCTGCATTCCCAAAAATGCGCTTTCATCATGCAAATGCTGATTTAAAACTTGTTTATTTCAATAACCTGAAATTTGACATCCAGCAAACAAACCAGACTACAGTAGGCACTTCTTTTATAGTGTCCTAAAGTGACTGGGACGATCTTTCTCTGAATGGTTGGTTAGGGGCTAGGAGGTAGAAATTATTTTGCTTAGAGAAGTATTACCAATGAAACATTTGAAATGTGTATAATATGAACATTTTGAAACATCCGTATATACTTTAAATACTGACTACCCTCACTACACAAAGTGTTTTCAGAATGAACGTACCGGAACTTCCAACATGGCAAGACTGTCACGAGCTGTGGAGCAAAAAACGAAAACGCCAACTGCGCGAGCAACAAGAAGCCGTTCAGAACCTTCCAACTAGTAAACCCCCAGTGGACATTGGCGGGTGAGTTTGCCTTTGACTACACGTTCGGGTAAAACGTTTTATGTTGTAGTAGTAGCACTATTATTTGCACATTTTGTAGACTTTCTTGCACTTGTTCTATACCTGTATGTAGTTGTTGTAGCGAGTATTTTTTCTCTTTAGCTCTATTTTTTAATTTATTTATTACGAGGCCATTCCTCGCATCATCAAAGTCACTAGCCAAGTGTAAAAAAAGGTGTAAATAAACTCGATTTGTAATCCAATCGCTTTTTTATCACTTTCTTATAATTAGGACGCAAGATACGAAACCGGCAAGACGATGGGAGTAGCTCTTTATTTAGTTAATGTAGGAGGCTTATCGATCGCGAAGGGATTTTTACATTCCAAGAGTCTGTGCCTACTCCTAGTCATTGAGTTTAATACAATTTATCCAAAGCAACGGCTGAGGGCGACAATCCTGTTCCTAATTCCGCAGCTTGCTTGTAGATTAGTTTTCGTTTTCCTTTCTAGTAGACTAGAGTTACGGATAGGTTCGAGCGTTGCTCTCGAACTGAATGTGAGCATTTAGTTAGTCTTCAATCAAGAACTTGTTTTGATCCTTATAATTGACGAATTATATTTTGAAACAGGTCTGCTATCTTCTGAGAAATGCGATGTATGCTGCATTATGTTAAGTGTTTTCTCGATGTTAGGCCTGGACTGAATTGTTATAATAGACTTGTTATTATTATTATTATTTTGTGCATGTGTATTTAATTTTATTTAGGCATGAACGAGGGATTCTATTTTAATTATATATATATTTACTATTCGATGAAATCTTAATTGTCTCGAAATGTTTGTGATATAACAAAGCAAAAGTTGCCTAAATATTTATCATGTTATAATATCCAATTTATATACCAAAATAAGTTAAAATGTAAATATTTATAAATAATTATCATTGTTAGTAACATAACCCGTCATTGATAATTTAATACAATTTGTTTCTAAGTTTGTAAATATTTTAGTTTAGTTTTACTTGTGAATAAAGGGTTTTTACATTACTTTTTATTTTCGTACTTTTTATTGTCGAGTGTGCGCCATGACGTTTATTTGTTACTGTTTTATATTGCACTTTGCAAATTGGACACTAAATTTTTAAGAGAACACTGTGCCCCCATTTGCTGACATTTGCAAATTGTTTTGAGGTAAGAAAGTAAACTCAACTTCAGTATTTAGCAATTATAATTATTACATAATATTTTCGATACATTCAGGCTGTCTGAAACATCCTATATTAAAAAGTGGTAGAATCCTAATGGCCTTTTTCTACATCTTGATATCGTTCTGCCTGCATGTGCATGGCTTGCTTCTTTATACATTAGGTAGTTAGGTATCTTTTGTTTTTTATCAATAAATAATAAGATTTCCTTTGTTAAACAAATTTATTGACAGAAAACAAGTCGCTTATATTAATTGTTCCATATACTCAATGTGAAATCTTGGAACTGTTTGAAATTATGGGCAAATTCTATCAGAAAAACTTTTTTATCTGAGACAATTTCTTTTTGCGGGCCTCAAAAAAAGGCAGTGTATACACTTCCTTTTTTACCAAAAACGACTGCACCAAAATTTCTCGGGAAAACACTTTTTCTTATTAATTTTGGTGCGTAGAATCCAAAACAATTCGTACTTTTTCGATTAGACTTCTCAAACAAAAGTTATAGACTAGAAACCAATTTCGAAAGAAAATTCAAAGGGCTGTAACTTTTGAACTAGTAGCCCAATCTTGAAACTGTTTGAAATTATGGATTCTACAGGCCACATTCTATAAGAAATTTTTTTTTCCGGGTCGATCTGAAACAATTTTTTTTTCGGGGCTCAAAAAAAGGGAGTATTAACCTTCCTTTTTTACCAAAAATCGACTACACTAAAATTTCTCGGGAAAACACTTTTTCTTATTAATTTGGGTGCGTAGAATCCAAATCAATTCGTACTTTTTCGATCAGACTTCTCAATCAAAAGTTATAAACTAGAAACCAATTTCGAAAAAAAATTCAAAGGGCTGTAACTTTTGAACTAGTAGCCCAATCTTGGAACTGTTTGAAATTATGGATTCTGCAGGCCACATTCTATAAGAAAAATTTTTTTCCGGGTCGATCTGAGACAATTTTTTTTTCGGGGCTCAAAAAAAGGCAGTGTATAACCTTCCTTTTTTACCAAAAAACGACTACACCAAAATTTCTCGGGAAAACACTTTTTCTTATTAATTTTGGTGCGTAGAATCCAAAACAATTCGTACTTTTTCGATCAGACTTCTCAATTAAAAGTTATAGACTAGAAACAAATTTCGAAATAAAATTCAAAGGGCTATAACTTTTGATTTAGTAGTCCAATCTTGGAACTGTTTGAAATTATGGATTCTACAGGCCAAATTCTATCAGAAAAACTTTCCCGGTCGATCTGAGACAATTTTTTTTTGCGGGCCTGAAAAAAAGGCAGTGTATAACCTTCCCTTTTTACCAAAAATCGATTACACCAAAATTTCTCGGGAAAACACTTTTTCTTATTAATTTGGGTGCGTAGAATCCAAATCAATTCGTACTTTTTCGATTAGACTTCTCAATCAAAAGTTATACACTAGAAACCAATTTCGCCAGAAAATTCAAAGGGCTGTAACTTTTGAAATAATAGCCCAATCTTGGAACTGTTTGAAATTATGGATTCTACAGGCCACATTCTATAAGAAAATTTTTTTCCGGGTCGATCTGAGACATTTTTTTTTGCGGGCCTCAAAAAAAGGCAGTGTATACACTTCCTTTTTTATCAAAAATGACTGCACCAAAATTTCTCGGGAAAACACTTTCTCGTACTAATTTTGGTGCGTAGAATCGAAAACGAGTCATACTTTTTCGATTAGACCTCTCAATAAAAAGTTATAGACTAGAAACCAATTTTGACCAAAAATTCAAAAGGCTATAACTTTTGATCTAGTAGTCCAATCTTGGAACTGTTTGAAATTATGGATTCTACAGGCCAAATTCTATCAGAAAAACTTTTCCGGGTCGATCTGAGACATTTTTTTTTGCGGGCCTCAAAAAAACGCAGTGTATACACTTTCTTTTTTACCAGTGTACGATATGACTTTCTTGTATTCACTTAGTTCATTTTCAATTGAAGAATAGAATTTCGCCCAAGTGTCTCAAAATTTGCTTTTTGTGTTTTTTTAGTCAATCAAAATTTTCCATAAGATTGGTCATCTCTAAGTGGAGGGCCCAAAGTATGTTGATCAGGACAAAAGTGTAACATACTTCTGATAATAGGATGCATTATTTTAATTTACAAAGACCCCCCTCCTCAAATACCAAAGTTTCATTCAGTTATACGTTATCTCTTACAAAACACTGTAGATTTTTTAATTTGATTGAAGAAGACCTCGTCCACTGGGCATTGGAGCTGCATTGTTTTTGGTAAAAATTGAAAATTTTTATGGCAAATTTGATTTACGTGTAAAACAAATGAGTGGTAACGGAACTTGTTTTGAAAATTTGCGTTTTTTGTTTCTTAGCAATCATAAAGATAAACGGGTGGCATTAAAGTTTAGGTAGGTTTTTGAATGTGACCTTTCTGATTTTGCGCAAATTCTGCTTCAAGATGGAGCACATTTTCATTCTGAAAAGGAGACACTCAAAAACGTAATCAATTTTTGTTGGACGCTCTACCTATATTGCAATAGAACATGTATGGATATTTATTAAAAATAGCAGTTCATTTGTATTGTTTATTTATTGGTAGAAGTGCCAAAAGGGTGATTTTGTAATGCTTAACAAAGGAAATCTTAAAATCTAATTGACACAAAAATACGCATTATTAACCAAAAAAATCTTAGCTCGTCAAAAATAATGAAAATGGAGGCGTACGATACGGCCGTACTTTCCTACGCGCTAGCAACAGCCGCCGGAAAATTGAAACCGGGTCTCTTAGGAATAGCGCCCACTTTAAATCCGGTCGCGGCCGCACCAGCGCCTCGCGCAGAAGACGTTTCGTTAACTCCGCCTCGACCGAGCGACGCCGGATCGGAGGCCGATGACGCCAAACAGAACGTAATGCAGCTACTAACAAAAATTCACGAAGCGTTAACGAATAAAAATGTAATTCCTCTGCATCAACTGATAGCGCTTGGAGCAAATTCGAGACAGGTATCTTATAGTTTTGATTGCGCTTTTTTTGACGCTTTGTTTGTAGCTTGAGAACCAAGGAGGGAACTTAGTTGACAAATTGCAACATGAACTAAAGCAAATCTGTAAAGTACAACCAGGTATTAATTACCAATTAGATCTAAATGAAGGTAAGTATAACGAGTAACTGTGGGTACCATCGATTATACATTTTATAGTGTCCCCCAAGTGACATCTACTCATAACAGTGCGTTATTGGGGTGTATAGTCAATGATTATAGTTGGTGCATGTCGCTTTTTGCTATCTCCCCCTTATTATGTAGTGTGTACGAATTCTGTGCTTTAAAAGTTAATTTTGTAGGTGACGATTCTACAATAGTCGGTTCCTTAAAAACCCAACCAGTTTGTGTAGCACTCGGAGAACTACTGAGGCATTATGGATTTAATGAGAGTGCTAATTTATTATGGTCACAATACTTTTAATGTCTTGTATTAAAATTATATTAAAAAAAATATAACTTGCTTTTTTAATTATTGGTAAGTATTTCTTCGCCCAACAAAGCATTATGTTTTCTAAATGACAATTAGATTATTAGTAGACAATTGAGCTACACACTACATATCGGATAGGATCCAACAGAATTTGATACAAGTATTTATCTCTGTATGTAATGGAATAAACAGCCCAGTGCAGCATGTCAATTAAAGCGGTAAGTAAATTTTAATATTAGGATTTCAATTTCTAATTAAAAAGCCCTCTTTCTTTCCAAAATAAGTATTTACTTGCAGTAGGACAGACAAAATATGGTGAACGAATTTATTGAATGCTGTTTCCTTTTTTTTTCCATTTTCAAACGGAATGTGTTCATATGAACGTCAACAGCTGTGTTGGGGTATCTCAGAACTTTGAAATTCTAGTCTTGGGGTTACAGAATATTTAGTAAAATCAGAAATTGATGCACGTCTGCACACACAATCTATTTTTGTACAAAGGGGTTGAATCACATCATAAATAGTAAGAATGTATCACACTCTGAATTTCGAACAAGAGGTAATTCAAACGACTGTTGAAACAAAACAAATGATCCCACATTCTGGATATTATGATGTTAAATTTACATTTCAATAAGTCTCTCTTTAACAGTAAGAGTAGATACAGTGATCACTCTTAACAACAAGGGTAGATAACATTAAACAATTGATTGTTCATACTGTAATTCTTATTATAGTCTAAAATAATTTTTGTTCAAGAACACATGACAAATGAATTTCACTTGTTCTGACACCCACCAAGGTCGGCGTTCGCTTTTCTTTCGATGGTATTTATTTCCGTTGCACAGTCTATCACAATCAAAGTGGGACGCCAAGTACGAAATAAAATTAAGTTCAATATTGTGTCCATGAAAACGACGGGAGAACTTAAGCTAGCTATTTTTGACGTCTAAATTAAATACCTTCAGATTTATTCCTAAAGACTTGGAATATGAGTGGGCGTGTGGTACAGTAGCTAGAGCAATACCATGCAATACTCTTAAACATTTTTGTTTTTTTTTTTGCTACTTCGCTATTTGTAGAGCTGCAAGAAACTTTGACAGGAAACACTTTATCAGCATACAATTCTGCAAATTTGCTCATTTACTTACGACTTGGAAACTCTTAATGTGGTACTTCCTCCCTACAAGTTGACGAACAAGAGAGCATCTTAAGTTTTCTCCTAAGAGATGTGTATATAAGAGTATATCTGTGGTTTTTAAAGCAGGCATGCTAAGCCAGCACTTGAGGATTCTCCTAGATCAACTACAGTCTGACAT